CCAGTTTGTCATTGTTTATTGTTAAAAGATGGTGGGCTTGCTCTGCCATCTAGTGATTCAGAACTGAATTTAGACAATTAAATTAGAAAGCATATAAGATTTATAAGAAAAAAGATCTATGAAAACTTTTTATAAAAATAGGACAATTGAGTTTATTTCAAGTAAAATATGATCAAACAAAATGCATCTCTCCATCTAGATACCCATGCCAGGGCTTTGTGGGTGACTTCAGAATGGAGCCAGTCTGACGGAATATTTAGTAAGAGGAAAACAATTCTGTAGCTTGGAACTTAAAGTATGGGGAATTACATCACAGAAATTAGAAAAGAGCACAAAAACATAGCCAGACTTCAACCACTTTAAAATTTTAGAGGCATTAATAAACTGCAAGTAGCAAAAAGTGTAAGTAGCACAAGTAGGATGTAATTGAGTATGTGTGTGTGTGTGTGTGTGTGTGTACATGTGTGTGTGTCTGTTTTCTAGGACTGAAATCTAGACAGTAGATATGAGCCTTGATCATGTTTCTGAAATGAGTAGCAGTCTTGAGGGTACTATTAGATATCTCAAGATGTCATTGGAAAATTCCTACATTTTGTTTGTTTTTCATACAATAATTATGTCATGAAATGTTTGTAATTCTTTTCAACAAACTAACAACCATTTTGTTTCTTATTCTGCTTTTCATTTAAGTAAATGGCCATGTAGAAACACAGAGAAGTGCAAGCTCTTTATTTTCTCACCACTCTTGCTTTGCACACATCTTTCATTCAGACACACACAGCAAGACTTCACTGAGCCCTCTGTGATAGGAACAGATTCCTGTGTGGGCGAAGAGAAGGCATGCCTCAGTAGTGAATGTGGGTTTTCATCTCCTTGCCATTTAAAGGCATTCCAACTACATGTCCATATCATTTTAAATTCAATTATAAATTTTCAGGAGAAAGAGACCAGTGATGAATCAGAATATAAAACCAGTTTTTGGCATTGTAATTTAAAGAAAGCAATACAGTGACTCTTAAACTTGCAGGAAGGCATTGCTCTTATTTGTGTTAACACAGGACTGAAAGGGTGAATCTTTTTTCCCAATCTCTCTCCCTCTGCCTCCCTTTTCCTCCCTCCCCTTTCCCCCTCAGGTTCAAGAACAAGTTCATTTGACTTTCAGAGAAAATATTACAGATGATTTGAAAATCTCAGCAGTCACCAGGAGAAGATATGGAACAGGAAACGCCTTTTAAGTTAGGGTGGAATAGAAACAGCTTTATGGACAAAGGCAAAAGTACTCTGAACAAAGTAAATGAACTAGTGAGCTGGGCAAAGAGTTCCGCAGACCTCCTTTCCCGAGGTAGCTGTAGAGATATGATTAAGCCATCTGCTGAAGAGATTTTTACACATTTTAGTAATATCCAATTGAACATTTACATGCAATCTTGTTTATCTTGATTGCCCAGTTTTAGTTCGTTGCAGTTACATTGCATGCATTATCACATCTAATAGCCTAATTATATGCTGTATGTAAGAATATTTCATTATATATAAATTTAAGTTTGTAGCTTATAGCACATTAAGTGTTACCAATTAAAATTATATGGCATAATAATTCCATGTTACTTATATTTCATTATATAGTCAACATTAATTATATTTAATCAATGTTAATGTATTGTATACTAATTTGTAAAAATTTGTTTTTCTTGTATGAATAAATTTAACTTCACAATGTTGTATAAAACATTATATATAACAATCCACATATATTGCTCCACAGTAATATGTGTGTGTGTTTTCAATATTTGAAGGATAAGCACTTACACACTACCTTCTCACCCCCATTAATGTGTTTGAACATTACCCACTCCCAACCTTGACCACCCAAATTGCGAGAGAAATAGCTATTTGACTTTATGAAGTATTTACTTTTCAAGCAATTAATTTAAAACCAGTAAATAGTTGCTGCTTCCTCAACCAAAAACTTAATGAACAAAGTTCTTTTTATTTAAAACAATATGTTTATTCATTTATTCTGCATGTCTGCCCACATGTTTGTATGGAGGAAACGGGTTCTCAGAACTGAAGTATGGAAGTCAGAGAAAAACTTTGGGTTTGCTCTCTCCACTCTGTGAATTCCCCTGCAGTTAAGTTCAGGCCTGGCTACAGGTGCCTTTATCTACTGAGATACCTTGCTGCTCAGAAGTTATTTTAAATTTATCTATTTATTATAATTGTTTAATTGATTATACACACGAGATTGTGTTTTGGAATGTTTATTTTAGAAGTAGAATGTTTAAAACCATTTTAAAGCAAATATAACACATTTTATTGTTTGAAAATTTCATACAAGTGCATAATGCAATTCAATTAGTACCACTCAATCATCTCCTCTCCAATTACTCTATTATCACCTCATCACTTAGTTTTCCCAACATTCTTTGCTCTTTTCTTTTGGAGTTAATATAGTGCATCCTGAATGTACGTGGGTGTGGGTAGCTCTTCAGGGAGCATCCTTGAAAATAGCCTGACCATCCCTCCCCCAGATGCCATCAATTGCCAATAAATCCTCAACTAAGGTTGGGACTTTATAAGCCCTGCCCCTTTCCATGCTGGGATTTTGATTGGTTTGATCTTGGGCAGTCAGTTGCAGCTGACGTGAGCTCACGTGTACAACTATGATAGTCTGGGACATACTGCTTGGCTGTAGACAGCCACTGTTTCTGTATCTTACAATCCATCCTTCTTTCTTTCCTCTTTTGAAATATTGATACAGGGTCTCACTATGTAGTCCTAGCTGGCCTAGCCAGGCCCTCACCATCTTATTGCCTTCTTCTCTGTAATGGTAACTGAGGGTAGGTTGTGATACTGGTGTCCCTCCCCTGTGTTGTTCTGAGCATTTGACAGATGACTGTCTATTGCTGAGAATTGGGTACCATTCTGTTGTTTCTGTTTCTCTCCTGGGACTTCAGCATCTGGAGAAGTTTGTTGGTTGTGTGCTTCCCCACTCCTCTGTTCAATTGCTTTTCTTCTTTCAGTCAAGGTACATAAGATGACAGGTGAGGAACAAGTCTTAGCAGGGTTGAGATGCCCATTTTCCTCTGTGGGGTTGTTTCCGGAAGTTCCAGAGGAGAGTAAGTGAGTCTAAACAAGGGAACCTATTGTGTCCTTGCTGAAGAAGGCCACATGGGGTGGGATCCTGAAGCAAAACTCTTGGTAACTGTAGGCAGTGATAGCCGTGAAGATGTAGGATCACTAAGGGAACTTTGAACCAGGCAGTAGGTTTGTTTATGATGATCAGAAAGCAGCTACCATCGCTGTATGGAGTAGTTCTGGTGCTAAGGAGCTGAGAAACTCCTGAGGATGTAGAACCATGCAGTGATTCACTTCGTGTTTTATTACGCACAAGTTGACCTCTCACAAAAATTGAGGCTAATCATTTAATACATATATTTTTTCATGTTAAATATAACTGTTGTTGCTTCATATGTACACCTGCATGCATATTCCCCAATACTAAAAATACATTTTATATAAATATAGAAAAGTAATTAGTAAAGTTACATAAAACATACTGTACTGCTTTTCCTGTAACTTTCCTTAATTGATTTCAATGTAAAGATAGTCCCTCAATATCTTTATGAGTTCTGTGTTTCTGCTACAGTTTAAAAAATTAATACCCTCAGTTTGGTATAGCTAATGGAAACATAAACCAAGAGATAGGAAATGGTTATTTCATTGTAAATTCATGTTTAAAACAGTTCTCAGAAGCTCATATGCTATTCTTTGGAACTTTATCTCAGTACACGAGTCTGTTTGAACTCCTTGCTTGAGATTTACTTGCATAAAATCTCTTGTAAATTGGAAGTCATGTAGGGTTCACATGTACTGAACTTACCCATTCCCTTTGGAAATCCTTTTGTCTTTCTTTTTTCAAATGTTTTTTTTCTGTCCCTCTTCATCACAATTATGTTCAGTCACTCATAATTTCAAAAATAAAATCTTGTGAGAAACATTCTTTGGCTAAAAAACATACTTATCTTGAATCATCTTTTCTCCATCTATTAGAGGAACATGTATTTCATGAAGAACTACTCATTGTTTTATGTGAATAAGTTCATTTGTATTTTAAAGAGATTAACCCCTTCTCTCTTCCCCTTCCTCCTCCTCCTCTTCCTCTCTTTCTCTCTCTCTCTCTCTCTGTCTCTCTGTCTCTCTGTCTGTCTCTGTCTCTCTGTGTCTTTGTGTCTGTCTGTCTCTCTCTCTGTCTCTGTCTCTGTCTCTCTCTCTCTGTGTTAATGCCAAAGACTGATGTTGGGTACTTTCCACAATTACTTTCTATCTGTGTTTTGGGACAGAGTTTCTTACTGAACTTTGTTAAGGGAAGCTTTTTCTTTTGATAGGGGCCTTCCCGCCAGCCTGGTTCTAGAGCCTCATCAGTTCCAAATAAACACACAGGAGGCTATAATAATTATGAAGCTGTTGGCCTTGCTTGTTTCTTACTGGCTAGCTCTGACTTAAGTATTTACCCCATAATTGTTAATCTATGTATTTCTCTTACCGGAGAATGGTTCCGGGCTTCCTACCCCCATGGCATTACATGTTGACTCTCCTGTGTTTCTCCTTCCCAGAGTCCTCCTGGACTCCTAGTCCCTCCTATCTAGATTCCCTATAGGCCAGACAGTGCTTTATTGACAAATAACAGGCAAATAAAAGGACTTCCCCAACAGAACTTAGCTATACTGAGTGTTGTTAGGTGCTCTGGGACTCTACCTTCCAGTCCAAGGGTTGTAGACATATGTGACTACACTTGCTCAACCTTTTGCATGAGTGCTGGGCATCTAACCTCAGCTCCCCAGGCAAGCACAATGGGGACTTTGCTTATTGATCTAGTTCTCAAGCCCTAAGAGGCTACTTCCTAGAATTTTTAAAAAAACAAAATGATACCTTATTTTCTTAAACATTCCACAAATTATAAAATTTCAGATTATTAATATTTTTCCTTTATATTTCAGATGAATATGATGAAGAAATAGCCTGTACTCAAGGTGGCCAGATGTATTTAAATAGAGACATTTGGAAACCTTCTCCATGTCAGATCTGTGTCTGTGACAATGGTGCCATTCTCTGTGACAAGATAGAGTGCCCCGAAGTGCTCACCTGTGCCAATCCTATAACGCCTGCTGGGGAATGCTGTCCAGTATGTCCACAGACACCTGGAGGTGGAGATCCCAGTTTTGGTAAGAATGCTCAGGCTATTTCAGAATAGAGTGGGGACTCACCTTCATTTCCCAGTGATTGCTGCCCTCAGAGTTTAACAATCCAAATGAATAGTCATAGTAACTAACTCAGTGACCTCAGGGGTCAATGGCATGGATATCAGAAAGCTAAACATATTTTTAAAAAAGTGTGATGAGCCTCCTGGAGCAAGTAGGGAACTCAGTATTCCCTCCTGAGGCCAATTAACATAGAAGTAGACAATGATTTATTGTTTTCTTAACTAGCAGAGAATCTTGTTTTGAATGGTTACATCTAATTAGAGAAAGAATGTGCATTATACATGGCTGCTGCTATTGTGCTTATAAAAGGTGCCTCCAAGATATTTTGTTGACTTTCTATTTCATTGCTTAATGTCCAACAGAAAATGCAGAAAACATGTTTATCATCTCCGGTATAAACTTTGCCCTACAGAATATGATAATTATTCACAATGTAATTTACTGCTCTAGCAATTTCTCTTACATTGCCTCAAAACTTCAAGGTGTGCTTAATGTGAACCACATAATAGAATGAAATGGAGCCAAGTTCTTGGAGGAAAGAATGATGCGAATTACTGGGTTTCAAAATATTTTAAAAGAAAAATGTCTTTGATTAATATATATTTGATTATTAAAGAGACAGGCATGCATTATCATTTGTGCATTTTAATTAGTTATATAAGACCAGCATTAAGCTTTTAAGTTGTTTACTTTAGTTCTTATACTGGTCATTGTCAAGACATTATCATTTCCTTTTTCTTTTCACAACTTTCATTGAAAATAACTAAATATAATGAAGTATTCAACAGTACATACATGGAAATATTAGACAGCAACTTAAATCTTTTAATCTTGGATATTATTTAGCAGAATCAATGCACCTAAAATAAATACTTACACTCAAATTTGTACAGTATGATAAACATGTGCCATAGAATAGACATATCGACACATAGAATAGATAAAGACACAAAAGCTCCTTGAAAGCAGACATAATTTTATAGAAGCCCAGGAATCAGAACAATTAAGCCTTGGGGATAAACAAATAGCAATTGGGAATATGTCAGCAAATATCAGAAAGTAAAATATACAGTTTCCTGCCAATAATCAGTGCAGGAGAGTGCAACTCATCCCAAGAGGAGTAGTGAAAATGAATGACAACAGATTTATACAAATTAAGCATGACAGAAGGGTAGCCGATTTCAGTTAAGTTTATGAGACAGAGAACACACTGGCATATGTGTGGCCATTGGTCAGACAAATTTTGGCTGAATATAGTGACATATGCCTTTAATTCCAGGACTTGGAAAATGTAGGAGCATCAACAGTTCAAAGGCAGCCTGAGCTACACACTCAGTTCAAGGCTAGCAGGAACTAAGTAAGAACCAGCATCAAATCCAAACAAAATTAACCCATACCAAACTAAACTAACAATATTCTGCCAATTATACAACTTTTTTTGAGACAAAGTTTCCTGTATAGCAAGCCAGTCTTTAAGTGATTTAGCCAAGGATAGCCCTGAACTTCCTTAGTTTTGGATGCTTAATGTATGAATAATTGAAACTAAGTACTAAGATGTGCCTCCAGCTCAAAATCTAGTCAAGTCATAACTATGTTTAAGAAAAGAAACCTCTCATCAGGATCAATGTTTAGTGATAGGAAAAATAAAACTGAAAGATAAACCAGGAAGTTGAACAATGAGGTGATAGTGTTCAAATTACAGAAAAGGAACAGATGACATCTGTGGGAAATATAATATAATATATTAATATATTAATATAATATATTAATCAAGAAGAATTGAATATATTGAAAGGCAGAACACATGTAGAAGATATCCATGCTATTGAAAAGTCTCCAAAGAAGAAGCTAACGCAATGACAGAATAAGCCATAATAATTCAAGAAAACTGTGCCTAGACAAACCATTTTGTTACTTGGGAAAATTAAGAAGGTATTTGGAAAGTATAATTTTGCCTTCTGCGCATTTTATATGAATGATAGCATACAGCAGATAGCCACTCCAGATATGTGCCCTTAAGGCAACGAACATTATAGTTTCCACAGAAAAGTCTTAATGTTTCCATTTGTAGAAAACAAAATTGTGCATTTACAAAAACCAAGGAAATTGAGTAAAAATTACTATAAGGCAGTTTAGTATAAAGATAATCAGCAGAAATGTATAAATTTTCTGTGTAAAAAAGTTGTATTTTAGTATAAATAATGAGAATAAAACATATGCAATTTATAGCAATAACAAATATCTATAATTAAGACAAAACACACAAGAAATAGCTGATAAAATTATAGTAAATAAGCAAAAACTTAAAAATGTGAACATCCTATGGACATGAATATTATATTTATAACAGTCACACATCTTACCTTAGGGCAAACCACGAATAGTTCTCAAAAATGAGATAAAATGGAATTCTGCTCAAGTCAAAGATAATGGAATTCTTTTGTAGTCCTGAAATGTAGAAGGTGTTTTCTGTTTTGGTACAGTCCAGTGGTAAAGTATCCACATCACATGAGAGAGGCCTTAAGTTCATTACCAAACATGTAAGTGAACAAAGAAAACAAAAAACAAAACCAAACATGGGCATGCAAGAAACAAAGCAAATTTGCAATTAAATTTACAAAGGATAACTATGTTTTGTACATATGGAAATTTTAGCTACAAATGATAAAATAACAATAGCAAAAGATAGGAAAGGAAATAACACAGGTTTTAATGGAAATTGAGTGTAATACCTGTCAAATTCCCTCAAAATCAAAATTGAGACGTAGGTTACATTGTTTCAGCTGGCAAACTGAACAATACTGTAATGTTTGTCAGCACATTGTATCACTGGCCATTATTTTGGGAGTTTTGTTCACTGGCTTCAGGAGTACATAGTGGTAGTAACCTCATGAGGTGTTATATTGATAATATGTTCAATCATAATTGTCTGTTCATTGGCTTAAAGAGTTTAAGAAAATTTATCTTACAAATATACTTACGGATAGTCATATATAAAAAGTATTCATTATAGCATTATTTATAATAATTAACATGGTTTCTGACTAGTCCATCAAAACTCTAGATTATACCAATCAATATAGCTCTCATTTCCATCCTTCAAAATATTGTGGTAGGGTAATAAGCAAATAAATCAAATAATTAATTGTGGGGAAAGTAATGCTGTTAAATTGACTATGATGGATTCATGTAATGAGATCCCAATTTGAAAATTAATCTGGAAAACAACTTTTATGTGAAGATTTGTGTGATTTAAATATCTATAATTATATGCAGACAAGAAAAGGAGAATAAGGAAAAATTAGATATCTGGTATCATTTGCTTATTTATGAGGACTATAATAATATACATGGAACCAATAGAAGTGGATTTGATGGCACAGGACTTGGCAGAGACCAGGAATTAGGGGATAGCATACAAGACACAGGTTTCCATTGCAGAGACCAGGAATTAGGGGATAGCATACAAGACATTTTGCATTTGAACTAAATTACTTGGCTCATTTAAAGTATTAAAAAACAATAGGGAACATTCATTAAATATAATTTGTGATAAAATGATTGGTTTTATGGTTTTGCTAACACTAGAATCTCTATGAATGTTGTGAAGAAAATTATGATCACATGAGAATATTCCAAATATATGTACAATTTCCTTTGTTGGAATTGATTCAAGACAGTTGTTGAGCTCTGATATATTAGTGGGTAGAGAACCTATGTTGAAATTTATAAGAAATATACTATAGAACGTATATATGTTACATGTTTTTCATAGTTGTTTCCTCATAAAATGACACATTTATTCTTTTCTTTTTGTAGGTAGAGGAAGAAAGGTGAGTTTTATTTTGTATAGCTTTTTTTCACAAGTAAAATTCTTTCTAAGACTGTCTACACAGAACTGTGCTCTGAAATGTCTGGAAGCTTGATGTGGAGTATAAAGTAGCCTGAAATACACTGAGACCAAATGAACACAGTTCTTTGACTGGTTGAGTTACAGAGGCCACTAGTCTTGGCTCTACAGTTCATTTGTCTTTTCTTCTTTCAGTGTGGGAGAGTCAGGGTTTCCCAGACACTAAATAAGCATTCAACCATTGAGTAGTTTTTACTCACGTGTGCATGTCTGTCAGAAAGTTGTAAACTGTATTAGGAGCATGTTATACTGTTTCCATCCTTTTATTAATCATTGTACTTAGTAAATATTTTATTTGCTTTAGAAACTTGGTGTACATTTGCTGACAGGGATACAGTGAGGAAGAGGAGGGAAGGAAGACAGGAAGGAAGAAGGAAGAGAAGGGGAAGAAAAGAAAATGGAGGCAGTTCAACCTTAATGAATTGATCTTTCCATTGGATGGGGATTAATTGACCCAAAACAAATTATTTTTTCCTGAAGCACACTGTTTGCCCTCTTCTCCCTTCCTCACCTTCAGGACCTTGAAATATTTTTCTAGAGAAGAGCTCTATGTATGTGAGGACATCCGTAGTCATAACGGTTACCTCTGCCTCTACTCTAGGCCACTTTCCTACTCTGAAGCATTACCTGCTCCAGACTCAGATCAACTGATGTGATGAATCACTGTGTTGTACACCCTGCCACTGACTCTGTTATTATGGTCATTACAATTATAAAAGTTTTAAATTTCATAAGTCTTTCATGTGTGAGGTAATATTGGGAATATGTAATTAGATTGCCCCCTTTGCAGTATACAATTTGGTGACATATATTTAAAAAGAACAATATTCAAGAAAGTAGTATGACTTTTAATCTACATACTTTCTAGAAGCACCTCTCACATATCCTTCATGATGCCACCCCAAGCACTGGTACTCAAGGATGTTCACTGTGGTTCTTTTGAATATGACAGTTTAGGGGTGTAAGCAGTGCAGCTTTGAGAGTGCATAAAAACGATGGGAACATGTCAGAAGGGTAAAGCTGTGTATCTCTGAGGGACTGAGTGAGGTAACTTCTTCTGTGTGTTTCCTCTGTTTCCAAAATTCCCTGCTAGCCACATTTTGACTTCATAATTAGATGGAATAATAATACATGTGAGAGAAGAAATTAGATAAGCTTACTAGCACTCCTCTTGCTGTCCTTTCACGTAGGATGTGAGTGTTGAATTCCACTTGCCTTCCTCAGTTGTGTCACAGAAGAGGGCATTTCATAATGTGTTCATTAAAAATAATTGGCTCATGAAGATCATCAAGGAAGAAAAATAGGCAGACACAAGGATGGCACCAAGGAGATCAAAATCACACAAAGACAAACACTGAAGCGGATAACACTAAATAATATATGAGGAAATAGAAATATATTAGGCCACCCAATAGTACTTACCTTACACACTGAGATCATAAAATCAGTATATGCACTCCAAAAGTCTACAGTTCTTTGTAGAAATTGAATGCCTGTGATGTCTACTTTCCTTGTTGCTCCTTCGCTCAAGCACATAGATTGACTAGGCAGTATCTTCCTACACAGTTGACATTTTCTGTCCGAGATTTAGAAGTACACAGCTACAACAATTGTACCTTCTCTTCTGCTGAGACAAACATACTTACCTTCTGTTACTTTTGATGTTTTCCATGAATGTTTTCTGCATTTAATGATAATCCTGCCTATTTGTGAGTGTGGGAAACTCAAACACACACTTCTCTGAGTTTCTTCTGTGGTTTCGTCTTGGGAAGAGGTCTGAGTGACACTCTGCCTTTACTTCTTTCTCCCCGACTCTTTCTTATTCTAGTCAACTCCTTGCTTTTGATGCTGTGAAAAACAAAGTAAAACAAAACTTTTCTCATTTCATATCCTAGATTTGTTTTATGTTCTTAAGCTAAGAAGAAGTTATTCTCACAAGTAATTTCTGACTAAATGTCTTTATTATGGAATATTAACTTTTTGTTTTCATTATTAGTATTCTGTAGCCTAGTGTGACATGCTATTGCTCAAAATAATTTATATTTTACTAATTGCTTTCTTCTTTTAAAAAATATTCCTAGGGACAAAAAGGAGAGCCAGGATTAGTGCCTGTTGTAAGTACATATGTGTGTTATATATTACATGTTCTATGTTTACATATAAAACAATATATGTATTAAACATAGCTACAGTAGTTGTATATACTATTGTTTCCTTTAAAAAGGAAATTATTTTGTAATAAAACATTTTAATAAAACATACAGAAGAGAAAATATAGTATTTGGCATGATATAATGTTTTATAACATTTAAATATATAATCCACATACCTGACAATACAAAAAAATCGCATTTTTGTAGCATTGAATGTGTATATAATGACGTTCCACACTTTAGGAAGTGTGCCATCCCTTGATCATGATTGAAATTCCATGTTAATTCAGAATTCTCAGGACATCTTCATTCTTGTTGGTGACCAGAAGGTACACCATGAATATGCTGGAATTGCTAGCATTTCAAGTCATATGCTGCATAGCAGTTTTCATCAATATATTAAGAGAAAAGACTACACATGTTAATTAGTTGGTAGTACACATGTTTTTGCTTTATCATTAAACCTTATTTTCTCAGTTTATCAGAAAAGTAAACACTTCAATAGTTTCCCTTTTCATGCTTGATATGTCTTAGATTCTAAATATTTGACAAACATTTATCAATCTACATAATTCTAAGTGAGATTATTTCATAGATACCATTTTGCATTTGCATGCAAATTTCCATTAAAGAAGCTTAGTATAGTATAGAGGGAATAAATAATTAGTCCAGGGTCACACAGCTGCTAAGAGAGTGAATATTTAAGTGCAGTGGCCCTGTCTTTAATGTGTGTATATCAATTTCCATGAAAACACTATATTCCCATATGCAGTTCAAAATAGGTGGTATTTTAACTAACAAGACAGAGGAAGTGCAGCTAGTTGGGGGACACTCTTAAAAAGATTCCACTGTGCTTTAGCATTAGACCATTGAGTGTTCTAAGTCTCTGTAAACTTTGTTATTACAATTTTCTAATTGTCTTCTTTGGTGTTTAGGTAACGGGCATACGCGGTCGTCCAGGACCTGCAGTAAGTACTTTTCTTCAGTATTTGTTGTGAATAATGAACATCATTATTGACAAGACATACATGAGAAAGCAGCATAGCACAAAAGGATGCTCGACATCCCAAAATACTTTACTTTAAACCATCTTCAGATGTAGACATTTTGTTTTTAAGTACTACATGGCACACGAGGGTCAGTTCACCTCGAAGCTGAAAATCTTTGTTTTTTCTTGCCCATTAGTCTTGCTGTTAGTGAAAGGAAAAACAATCTATGTTTACATTGTTAATTTTACACTGACCTTGTTCTTGAAATGAGAGCATACTTGCATGTTTACTGATGAATAGAGATTTAGTTATTTAAATAACATATTGCAATAGAATTTGAGAGGTTATATACCAGCATGACAGATTTCTGGCTTTGCATAAAAGCTATTTTATCTCAGGTTTGGATATCAATAGCATTCTTAGGTAACTATATGAATAATGTACACTCATATGCATACCATTTAAATATCAAAACATGTCAGATCTCCTGAAATAAAATACTAACACAGCTCTAACAGACTCATTTTATTCTGGAGTTTCTGTTTTTGCACAGTGTTGTTGAGTAGGGCATGGCAACAAGACACATAGTTCTTGCTTTTCAGGAGGATGAGGCAAGAAGAGCCTTTAGCCAAGGAGTTTCAGGTGTAGTCTGGAAAACATTTTAATAAAAACCTAAATAAGACAACGGAAACAAAGTTGTTGGTTGAAACAAATAACCATTTTAAATAAATTATTTTTAGTAAGGCAGAAACTGTGACAATTATAATCAGAGAAATTAGAAGTAGACTGTATATATATGCACGTATATATGCAGTATGTAAACCACTGTTTGAATGTACATGAAGCAACAGTTGGCTGACAGCAGCAGGTAGACCAGTGGTCTGAAGCTTTGTGTGCCAGTCTGAACTCGCATATTCTACCAGATAACTGATAGTTTAGGGTTTGCACTTATATGTGAGTCTCTAGACCTAAACTGTTAAGTTTTTGTACCTAGAACTTAATGACCAAAAATCTGCACTGGGACAAGTGTGTGAAAATGATGCTTAATTTGCAATTACTAGCATGTTAATATGTTTACTTCCATAGTACCATATGTGGTATGTAATTCTTTGAGATCTTTGAACTTAACTCCTCAACACTCAGCCCTTTTGTTTACAGAATATTCATAGGCACAGGCTTTGCTGTCCAGTCTTCAACTGAACTGAATTGGAAATTAAATCCTTTAAAAATTCATAAATGTTGATATCTATAATCACAATTTATATTTTAGGGTCCTCCAGGATCACAAGGACCAAGAGGGGACCGAGGCCCCAAAGGAAGACCTGTAAGTTGGTGGTTACTTTTTTTCCCCAAATGTCTGTCAAGTGAATTGACTTGCACTCTTCCTTTGAGTGCAGTGAGGGTGCCAGAGACACTGTTACTCTGTCACCTCCATTACATGCCACAAAGAATTCCAATGTTGAAATGAACTTACAGCTCTCCACACTTAGAGAAAAGTATGGCATGAAAATTATTACCTACCACTTAACTAGAGAGATATCATGACTGCAGTCACTTATTTTATAAGGTCAAGTTACAATCAAGCTGGCTAGAGAAGCAGGGCGCATGTGTGGGCATGGTGACAATCCATAGCCTTTAGTTAATTTCTCCCTTTGATTTGTAACTTTTGTTGGTTGTCCTGGTGTAATTATTATCACTAGTTTTTAGCTACTGACATACCACCGAATACTCATAGGGAGAAGGTTTTGATTCATGACACAGCGCTCATCAGAGGTGTTCGCTGGATGAAGGTCTTTACCGTCACTGTAAGGCATGGTGTTAAAATCCTAGGTACCAGTGCTCATCTCCAGTTTCCATTACTATCAAACAATACAGAAGACTCCCATAATCTAGTGTGGTTTCTCAACCTCAACACTCCTGAAGTTTTGGACCAAATAATTGCTTCCACTGTGGGATTATTGTCATCCCTGCCTACCAGATGCCACTAGTAACCCTCATCACCATCCTACTTGTCACAAATAAAATACAGGAAAAATGTGCTGGATTGAGAAATACTGATACAAAGAAACTGGGGGAGCCAGTGACCACCAAGATTCTTTCATCAAAAATCCTCAGTTTAGAGTGTGTTATCCAGGTCCCTTCACAGTGACATTCAGCATTATGTTGAATACAAATTGCACATGACACTTCTAGGGATCACCACATATGGTGAAACATGCACGAGTTATTACAGCTGTAATATTACATAATGTACCTGCGTGCTTGCTTATGTGTGCTTGTGTTTGTGCGTGAAATTGCTAACCCGAGCAGAGAGAACATTCTTGAGGAGTGTGCAGCTGTTTTCTTCATGTGAACGTTGAAAGTTCGCCACCTAGTGGCCATCCATAAGTACTTTTATGCAGAGCGCTGCCTGAGAGTATTCTGGGGATGGGTGAAAACAATGATACATAGAAGAGCGTTTACTTACCTTAACACACAAATTACGTGACTAAGCTTAATAGGAAATATAAAATGCGGTTTAATTGATTCCAAATTATAGTTCATTTTCAGTTTTTAATCAATAAACTGTCTACATTATATTTTTCTTATTCTCATTAAATTGTTTATCCTCTTTGTTTTAGAAAATTTCACAAATGTTTATTAACTTAAATTTTAAATTACATTAGACTAACACACCAGGGATATTTAAAGATGTTTCAGGAAAATATAGAGGAGACAGGAAGTTAATAAAAACACAGACTGTCTTAGGATCAGACCTTGCTTAGTATCTGATCAGGCTTTGCCAACAAATTCATTAACAATTTAGAGAATTAATATTATCCAGATCTCTTTCCAGTCACATATAAAGTAAATTTTTCTGTTTATTTTGGAAATGTTTGGGGAGTAAGCATCTTGTTTCTGTTAAGTGCCTGTTTATAATAAGTTATCATTTAGCAGTTGAATTTGGGGGGAAGAACCCTGAATGAGCTCAAGTGCCACTCTGTGTGGTCTGGTGCAGAAGGTGCCTGCCACACTGTGTGATCCAGGAGCCTGAGACAGCAGCTGGAATAAGCCCGATTGCACATTCAAGAGAGTAGAGTCAGTGGTCTCAGGGAAAGAAGGGAGTTGATTTTTAAAATATAAAAATTGACTTTGATGATCCCCCGTGGAGGGTCTCACTATCCCTGGGGAGTGGGTGGTGGGTGGGGGTTTGGTGGAAAGCATGGGAGGATGGGAGGGCGAGTGAATGGGGGAACGGATATGTAATTTTCTATAAAATAAAAAAAGAATGTTTCTCAAATTACGTTTTGAATTTTCTGGGCTACTTTTTCTACCTCAATTTAAAGACATAAATGCTGCTATTTGGTCCACTATTGAAAGATATGGTCGTCTGAGTGTAGTAAATCATGAGGAATTAGCCTCTTCAGTTTGTCCAGCCTTCTGGCCTGCATTGTTGGATTATATTTGAATTGGTACTGTGGGCCAGGTAGAGTTACTCTCTTGGCTAAGAATTAGACATCCTTCTACTGTTAAATGCCAACTTACCACTTTACTCAACCCCCATGTTTAGTGATAAAAATGAAATTATCTTGGACTTTATTGTTCCTCTCTTTTCTACCAGAGCTTAAGGTTTACACACACACACACATACATACACACAAACTCACTCACACAACCCCTCACACTCACACACATAGACATACACTCACACACATTCACACACACACTCACATACACTCACACATACTTTCATGCACATAGACAGACATACATACAGACACACAGACACAGACACACACACACACTCACACAACCCCTCACACTCACGCACATAGACATACACTCACACACACTCACACACATACTCTCACACACATAGACAGACACACAGACACACACACACAGACACACACACAATCACACAACCCCTCACACTCACACACATATACATACACTCACACATACACACTCACACACATATTCTCACACACACTCTCACACACATAGACAGACAGACACACAGACACAGACACACACACGCCTAATGGGAATGATGAAGCTGGGAGATGGAGCTTTTCCTGACCTGAGGACGTGGCTATTCCCCAAGCTGCTGTGGTTTAGGGAAAGGGTGGGGCTTGGCAGTAAGGGCCATTGTTCACTTCTCTGAGAACTAGACTTGGCACATCACAGTGCCTTGCCTCTGATTTCTCATTGGTCTGGTTGACCACTTGGGTGGGAAGGAAAATATTATGTGCCTGACTTAAAGTAAAGAAGAAATGTGCAAATGTTATCCACAGTATTGAATGTCAACCATGCACCAGAAATTCTGCAAGCCTCATGCAATTTGAAGATGAAATAGACCCACAAACTATCAAGGGCCTTGATTTTGGGAGAAGATAGGCTAAAGAACAGGTTGTGCAGGCACATTCATAGTTAACTGTAATACAGGATGGGTACATTCAGAAACTGTTTATTAAATGTACTTAAGCAAGAAAAGCTCATCAAACGCATTCTAGAATGCTGCTGAGGTGACATGATTTTCTGATTATTCTATGATTTAACACATAAAGTAAGATTCTTACCAAGACTGCGTTTCCATAACAGAAGCCATGAGCAGTTCTGAAATTGGCAGTGTTTAGATTGTCTGTTGTAATTACCATGATTACCATCTAGAAGTCTGTGCATTTAGCCTTCTACTAAGTACATATTTGGAAGTGGTTCTGATATCCACTGGTTTTCTTTCCTAGGGTCCTCGTGGTCCTCAGGGAATTGATGGAGAGCCCGGTGTTCCTGGTCAGCCAGGTGCCCCCGGGCCTCCTGGACATCCCTCTCACCCGGGACCTGATGGCATGAGCAGGGTGAGTTGTATGCTCTGGTCAGTGCAACAGTTGGGTTACACACAAATTCTGAATTCTGTCTTCTGGTGTTAGACCTATTGGTTCAGAGGTTGATGCTTTGCTCATGCCCCGGTGATGAGTGCAGACCAGCTATGAACAACAGTGAAACTGCCAAGTCTGCAGTGGATTGTTGGAGATGCCAAAGGACCATTTTCTAAAGCCTCGCATCACATTATTTGTTTTCCCAGTGGTAGTTCTAGACTCCAAAGCCTTTTTTTTTCTGGTGATGCTGAGACTCCACTACACTGTTAAAACAATGAATTGAAGAACATACATCTCTGTTCTACTGTTCTGCAGGCTCCCAAAACACTGACAAAGCCAAACTTGTATTCTCCTGAAAGAGGATGCTGTATCTATGACAGTGGAGAGAGCAGAAAGTCACACAGAATCTTGGGGCAGGCATTTTTGTCACCATGACAAATGATGGTGAGAAACCATTTAAAGGAAGGAGGATTTGTTTCAGTTCACAGTGTGACAAGTTTCCCGATATGGCTGCTGGCTGGGCCAGTGCTGGGCATCATGGCCTAATATTGATAGAGCAAATATTCCCCTCCTCCATGTCCAAGAAGAAGACAAACAAAGACAGGGAAAAGACATAGCTCCCCCAAACATTCCCCCAGTGGCTTGACTAATTTTATCCAACTCGATGTCATTTCTGATATTTCTTCCACCTCCCAGATGTGCTTTTGGCTTATGATTCCATCAGTGGATGAATTCAGTAATCATGCAGTTAGTTCCATGGTCTTGTTACTTCCCAATACTCCACCCGTGTACATTGCACTGGGGATCAAGATTTTAACACAAGTCTTCAGGGTGTGTTGGGGGAGCAGCATCAAACCATAACAGCATTAAAATATTCCTTAGATTTTAATTTCCTACTTTAATCAAATAACTTTCTTCTTTCTGTGTGTGCTTTTGAACTCTTGGTGGACACAATTGGCACCTAGGAAAATATTGCACAATACAAGTGACCATGTAGAGTCTGAAGACTACCACTATTTTACAACTGTTCATATGTTTGATTACCAACTGATTGCAGAAGGAATTGTCTGTTTATATTTTGAATAACACACATATTTTCCTACTCAAATTTGGAAATTAATAAAACTACTGGAAAATAGTCGAACAATTTTAGTCAGTTTAATTGCCAGAGTATTTTAAAGGTCAAGAGAATAAATAAAGCTGTTTATAATTCTTGGAATAATCAGAGATTTATTGAAAGGATTGTAACAATTTTGTTAACTTACATAAAAGCATTTTAGGGTTCTTTCCATGAGTGAAAAAAAACCAGAAAACACCATTTACTTAAAATAGTCTGAAATGGAATCTGGCATTTTTAGCATAAATACTTAAAAATACATCCTTTAAGCTTTGCTCTGTTATTAGCATGGTCTAGGGATGGCAGGAAGCCAGGTGAAGACATCAAATCCATAGCAGACAACTAATAACCCATGAGGATGATCTGTGCTTCTGCCTGGCTTCAGCGGTTTCTCTGAAACAGCATACTTATAAAATACCCTAGGGGAAGGATAGTCCATCAAATGCACACACATTGAAAAGCAACTTGAATTTTTCCCCATGTATTAAAGTCAAACGTTTAAAATGGCTCCTAGAAGAGTCTTGTATGAAAGTGGCAGAGTGTGCACATTTCTCACTATTAAAAGTGTGCTGATGCTCATCTTATTACACTGTGAATAATGTCAACACCTTCCTTTTACAGCCCTTTTCGGCTCAGATGGCTGGGTTGGATGAAAAATCTGGACTTGGGAGTCAAGTAGGACTCATGCCTGGCTCTGTGGTAAGCATACAGTTTACTGGTAAAGCATTGGTTAAAAGACACTTATAAATGGAGAAGCTTGAATGAGCTAGTTAGAAACATTCTTAAACCAATGAGGTGGCTCAATCCATGAAGGCAGCCGCTGCCATGTCTGAGATCAACCCCCAAGAAATATATGGTGGGAGAGAATACTCTTATGGCTTCTACATGTACACCATGACACAAATACACATACACACAGAGAGACACACAGACACATACACACACTCACACATGCACATTCAGACACATACAAAAACATACACACACATGCACACACAAACTTAAACACACATATGCACATACAAAGAGACACACATAAATGTTCATACATACACACACACATGGACATGCACATGCATACACATATATATATACTTTATAAACATAAAAATTATAATACTTTAAAACACACTTACCAATACATTTTATTTGCTTATCAAGTCCTACTGTGTGCAAGTTAAAAGCAAACCATTTGTGAATGTCAGAAAACATCTGTCTGCATATTTCATTTAGCACTACAGGAAGTAGAAGACAAAACTACAACCATCAAGACTGTTACTTTATAATAAAAGTGTATTTATTAAGTTTTATTGTGCCAATTAGAAACACTGACTTGGCAGAGTTTTCAAACAGATTTCAAACTAGGCCATTTCCATTTTTATGAGTTCCTAGTGACCTAACATGCTTTGACTACTTTATTCCAACAACTCTGCTTCCCGGGCTGCTCCTCTTTCATCTTTGACCTCCTGAATTTCCCATCTTCTTGGGATAATTCTTAACTTGGTTATTTGAAGGTCTCTAGACCCATAGAAGGAATTAACACTCCACATCAAGTCTCCCATGCCTTTTAATCACAATAAGTCAAAAATTGTTCAAGTTAATGAGATTTCCAAAATCCAAAATGAAGTCACACCTCATAGATACCCATGCCTCACCTTATCATTAAGGCCATCTTTGATTTGTATTTTTTTCCAAGTTAGTAGTGGCGCTGCTCACTGCCTGTTTTGTGATAGTTTTCTGAGATATCTAATGTTTTATATATTCTAGTTTAAATTGCATAAATATTTATACCAGTATCTTATAAAAATTTTAATTTTAAAATCCTTTAACTTAAAATTAATGTTTTATTAGCCTATATTAATTGTACATAATAGTGGCTTTCATTATGTCATCTTTATACATGTACACAGTTTGATCATAATCATTCTTGAATTTCCCACTCTTGTCCCTTCCCTCTCATTGGCTTCTCCTCCCAAGTAGACACCTTTCAACTTCCACATTCTTTTTTCTTTTTTTCTTTTTTTGGTTTTATGAGACAGGGTTTCTCTGTATTGTTTTGAAGGCTGTCAGTCCAGCCCGGCCTCGAACTCACAGAGATCCGCCTGCCTCTGCCTCCCGAGTGCTGGGATTAAAGCCGTACGCCACCACCACCCAGCCAACTTCCACATTCTTAAAGGTGTTTATTTTCCTTAGTAGCTAGAATAAACACTCAACCAAAATCAACTTAGCAGCTTTAACTTGACTAAACTTTATTTTAGTGAAATTGATTTAACTTTATAAGATTTTGCATTAAGTTTTGTTGTCCTCATATGGAATTAAAATTCTCCTAAGTTTTCATTTCCCTCAACATCCCTTTGCTTCAGAGGAATCCTTCATGTTTAGATGAGGGAAGATTGTGCTTAGACTTTTAATATATGTTGTGAAAGAAAGAAATGTTCCAGAAAACTCAGTTCCCAGATAATTTTAAGCTGACACTGAAGATAATCTGGCCAATATTGTTGGCATCATAAACTGTTAACTTACTTGGTATTTAAGCTAGCTCTCTCTAGAGCTGAAAGAACAAACAGGCTGTCTGTAAGTACCGTGTGCCTGCCAAGATGTGTTGCTGTGTCAGAGCCACCCATTTGCACATGTGTGGGCCCTTGTCCTAAAGGCACTGGGTGTGCACAGGCATATTTATCTCTCTTTACGGAGCAGAGGATAGATGATGAAATCATCACACATGCCACTCAAATTTGCTCTCTCTGAGTCCATCTGCCTCCCAGAAGAGCAAAACCAGAGTGTGTCAGTATGGCCCTCGAGCCAACTGTCAAAGTCACCTTCCAGATTCAAAAGCACACTCAACATTTTAAAAGTATGAGTTGAGGGGATGGAGAGATGTATCTGCTGTTGAGAGCACCTGTTCTTGAAGAGAACCCAGGTTTGATTCTCAGCACCTCATGGTGGCTCACAACTATCATAACTCCAGTTCCAGAGGGCACAGTACCTTCTTATCACCTCCAAGAGCACCGGGTGCTCTTGTGGCACACGGGCGCATGCATGAGCAAAACACTCATATGCATAAAATAAATACATCTAAGAAGAATTAAAAATAAATATGACGTGATTTGAATATGAAGTAACATTTCCTTTCACTTATTTTTAAGGGTCCTGTTGGCCCAAGGGGACCTCAAGGTTTACAAGGACAGCAAGTAAGTGTTTTATAACTGAATTGTATACTGTAACATAAGGAAAGAGCACAAATAAGGTTCATGCTTCATGACTACTTTGGGCAGAACATTAAACCACATAATTATCACTTGGAATGGTATCTACCAAATAATCTTCACCCACCTTTGTCAGTTTTTTTAATAATGCATGAGTGCATGTGTGCATGTGTGTGTGTGTATGTGTGTGTGTGTGTGTGTGTGTGTGTATGTGTGTGTGTACCAGTTGTATGTCTTCTTTGATCTCTCTCTGCTTCATTTCTTGAGGCAGAGTCTCTCTCTTGCAGGCAGGGTTTCTTGCTGAACTGATAGCTCATCAGTCATTTTGTTGACTTGTCACTGTCACTGTCTTCCTAGAACTAGGATCCCAGACTGGCCATCTCTCTGCCCAGCTTTTGCATGTGTGCTGGGGGTCACACTCTGATCCTCCTCATGCCTGAATGACAAATGCTTATCCACTGAGCTGTCTCCCTAGTCCTCAGTTTTCATCATCTGATTTCTTTATGTGATTTCTAACTCTAGGATTCATATGTCTTTGGTTCTAAAAGAACAGAACATTGTCTCATGTCATGATGATTTCTGTAATTGATTGTTGCCAACTCTCAGGCTTTACAATCAGATAACAAAAAGCCATTTCCAACTAGTATTAGTATAAACTAAGGCCCAGTTTATTATTTTGTGGAATCTTTAAGATCCTAATACTATAAACTTTCTTTCCACATGTATCAAATGCTAGTGAAACTATGATGTAGAACTATTTTACTCTTTATAATGATCTAATGGGCATTAGCTAATAATAGTTCAAAAGAAAAAAATCATTAGCTAAGCCAAGGTAATTATATTGTCATAATCACCTCTATGAATCTTACTTCATTACATTGCTGAACATAGAGGTAGTTAATAATGGTGAAGAAGATGATGATGATGAAAATGAGCACACATTCAGTGCTAGCACTATTTTATTTTAAGACACATTTATCTAAACAGATCAATAAATTGTGAAGGCAGGATATTAGTGATAAATGATAAATGGGTGTTTTATTGGGGAACAACTTACACAGATAGAAGTAAAGATTCAGTCTCTGCTCTTCTGATGCTCTATGAGACCCAGTCGAGAGTGTGTGCCCCCCCATTCTCTACCTTCAAGCAGTCACCACCTCCACACCTGAAGCCATGCCTAAAGGGGTGGGACCACTAACGCAAATTCACAGGCAAGGTGAGATGCTACTACAAAACTGAGTCCTAATCTTAATCTAATTTTTCAGATTGGGAAACTGCATTATACTGAGAGCCAGTAATTTTCCTGAAATTATATATCTGGAGAGTGACAGAGCACAACCTCCACATTATACTTTTTAAGAATACAGAAGTTGCTATCCTGCTTACCTTTGCTTCATTTATCATTTTTCTCAACTTTAGGGTGGCGTGGGGCCAACAGGACCTCCGGGTGAGCCTGGTGAGCCTGGACCAATGGTGAGTGTGGAGTGAACATGTCAGCCCATTTCACATGACTCTACTTCTATGTGGTTTTGTGAGATACTTGTTCTCCTAGATATTTGTCCCCCCACAATAACTTAACAGAAAATGATAATCCTATAGACCCTGTACTGTGGTTTATCCTTAAGTTCTGTGCTTCTCAGTCACAGCATTTCAACCCAGAGTCTGCACTGTGGAGTCTACTTAAGCTCTATGTTTCTAAGGCACAGCATTTCAACCCAGAGTCTGAGTGTTATGGAAATTAGGGGTACGTAGGTTTGTGCAACTCATTGTTTCTATTGCTAAACACAAGATCTGAGACACAGAGATAAAATGCAAAACATTAGCAATGCCATTTGTCTCAATAGTATTTGAATAATGCTGGAAAGAGGAGGTAAATATTTTTCTTTGCTTGTCATTTTGTTTTTCCTTAGGGCCCAATTGGTGCTCGTGGACCTGAGGGGCCACCTGGGAAGCCAGGAGAAGATGTGAGTTTCTGTTGCATGTTGCTTTGGAGTGTAGAAGAGGTTAACAAGGGTTCCATGGGTCAGGAGAGCACTCTGCTCTGATTCCCATTCTGTTTCCTCATCCTTTCAGCTCCCCTTAAATCTACTCTAAACTGGAGAACACGGGTTATACTTTTGTAAAATCTGAAAGGACTCTATTACGAGAGTGTCAAATTATTAGATTATATTTCTACAGAATCCTCCAGGATTTTTATTAATGTTTATCTTAGAAAAAAATGTTTTTTTGTCTCTTAGAAGGTTCAGAAGATGACTCAATCTGAATGCACAACAAACATTTATTTTCCTTTTTGCTGTGCTAGGGATTAAACTTGGGGTATTGCGCATGACAGACAGGGTCTCTACCTTGAGCTGTATCCCTGCCCTCTGCATGTAAATTCTGAGGTTCCAGAAATGGCTAGATCAGAACAGGTTACTTTACATCCATTTGTTCTCGCTGATAACTTTGTGGACACACCATAAACTGAACTACAGGATTAAATGTTACCAGAAATAGAGCCTGGTTTCTGTTTTTACACTGTTTGTGGTATGACACAAAAACTCACTACAGGCTTTTTGTCTGCAATTTGTCATGCAATCTCAGAAAAGAATACTTAATCTCTTCACACTTCTCACCTCCTTTTTCCTATGAAGGGTGAACCTGGAAGAAATGGCAATACTGGCGAAGTGGGATTTTCAGGGTCACCGGTAAGTTTATGATTATCAGTATAAGGACACAAAGATTAAACGAAGAATGTGAAATGTGTAGTTCATTGTTCGCACATGTATTAGACACCCACGTGATAGCTCCTTCTGTCAAAATGCAAGATGTGGAGGGACATTTTGCCAGCATTACAGTGAATTCTACTTCCAAGAATTGTATTGGCTCCAGATGAAAACCCTAGAGCCAAACAGTTGTATCATAGCTATAATACTCATGGATACTCCCAAAACTCAAAATTTCCACAATTAAGAAGTCTCCAAAGTGACCTATTTGCAATTCATAACACCTGAGTTTTGTTGATCTCTAAATATTTTGATTGTATAGCAGTTCATCTGTCTGAAGCAACAGCTTGAGTTTCTTGCCTTATGTGTGTTTTTAATCAGCTGGGGACCAAACTGTGGACAGGTTCCTCCTTTGGCTGATCCCCAAGTCCTAATGTTGCCTGACATCCTTTATTAGTATCCTGGGCCCTAAAATCTCAGGACAAGATGCATTCATTGCCAGGCTGCCGAACACAGCTGTTTTATGTTCCCTTAACTCATTCAAGGAACACATATGTGTCAACCCACTCCACCGGAATTCATGCTCTGGGACCTTGAAAGGCCTCCAAATCTTCCTGTTTGACCCTCCTGTTGTTTTTGTTTAGTTTCTTTTAGGACATGCTAGAACACAGTGGTGAACATTAGAGATGGAGGAAACAAAAATCTCCTCAAACATGCCAGTGTGTGCAGTTTCTCTCAACCAACAGCTCCTAGCTTAATTCATCTCCCTTGTTTAGTTCCTGTAATTCCCTAATGTTTCTATACTTATTACAGCCACTGCGTGACTTTGCTTTCTGAAAATTGATGAGGTTAATTGCTGGAACTTTGTTTGTTTGTTTGTTTGTTTTTTGAGACAGAGTTTCTCTGTATTGTTTTCGAGGCTGTCCTGGAATTCACTCTGTAGACCAGGCTGGCCTCGAACTCTCAGAGATCCGCCTGCCTCTTCCTCCCGAGTGCTGGGATTAAAGGCGTGCACCACCAACACCTGGCTAGAAGGTTGTTCTCTAACTAGAATGTATAGGGCTCTAAGCATTATTTAGTTTCAATTATCAAGCCAATCCCCCATCTTCCTCTTTCTTTCTTTTGCTCCTCTATCAACTTGGTGTGTAAGTGCAGACAAAGGCATGAGGTTCAGCTATTGGGACAGATGTTCTCTTTGACCAGTTCAGGCTGGAAACTCCTGTGACCTTCTGCACTGCTGCTTGTACTCGAAACGTGTATCTCCACAGGGAGGAAAGGTACCCTGCCAGCACAGCATAGATGCACGCTGCAAGTTCACTGCAGCAGAGTACATCTGTGCTGCGATGACAGCTCTGGGTCAGCAGAATGAGAGTTCTTTATGAATGTTAGTACATCTCGTTCATTTCCTTGCTACACTAGAATATGTAATCATACTGGAATTTCCCCCCCACAGTCATAAAAGTTGACGTGAACTAATTATTTGAAATAACAACTCAGTTATTCCCTCATAGGCTTGGATGGGTGTGTACTAAGTTGCTCACTCAGTATTAAGGGAGACATATCTCAGTGAAAGAGAGGATGCCAGTAAAAAACCTTCCTGATATGAAAGATGTTCTAAGCACGGTTGTGTCCACAGCAGAATAGCAGCACCTCATCTTTTCAGATGAGTAGTAGATCCCTGCAGTGATGCTCTCAAAACACTAAGGTTCTTTCCCTGCAAGAAGTCACAGAAAGCACTGCTCCAATCTTATCAAATGTTTTTTATTAAGTTGCCTATTCATACATTTAGTATATACTGAATAAAGATTGTAATGTGTGGTGTGAAAGTACTTTGCCATATGTGTAAGTGCTGGGACACGGGAAGGTCCTCTGGAAAGGATTGGTGGAATCGACGAGGATTCGAAGCATTAAGGCTTTAATTCAGTCAGTTGTCAATCTCATGATTATGATTATTTATTGATCGCTTGCTAACCCAGCATAAGGCTAAGTGCTAGGGATTTGATGATTAATAACCACAGTAGAAATTTGCCAGTTCTTTGGTAGCACCAATTTGTGCTATTAGGGTATAGAACCTTCCAGTGGTGGTGGCAATGGGAATTCAACGCAAAACCAATTTCATGTGGTCAAAATAAGTGCATGATTGAGTACCTGGGTCCTTATCATTTAAAAAACAATATATGGGAAAAGCTTTAATATTGTTTCAAATAGTTATTCAACAAGTTTTCATTTGTGGTTGCATTTCTGTCCTTTTGATTTAATGTGCTTGACTAGAAGACACAGAATAGCAGAAACATAGAAACGACTGAATCAGGACAGAAAGCTATCCTCACATTTGCTGATTTTCTGTTGGATATTTTAACTCCTCACTCACTTTCCAAGAAGTTATCATTTCACGAAGCTTGCCATGATCACTTACTTTAAAAAATCTGGACCAAATTACTGTGTTCAGACGGTAGAAACAATGAAAGCCGTTGGCTTGCTACATGCAAAGAAAAACACCTTCTCTTCTACGACAGAGGAAGCACCCCCGTTGGGGTCCTCTCTTGAAGTTTCTTCCCTGTGCCTGGACCTAGTCAATTTACACACTGCACATACTGATTCACGAGTACTTTCTTGTCCCTTTTCAGCAGACCGCGAGGTGTCACCAAGTGAGCAGCGGGTTCTTTAATCCACATCTCTGTGTGTTGTGCTTCCTTGTCTGACAATGTGTTTGGTTTTCCAGTTTCGATTAATCCAGTACCATCTTTATAGACAAAATAATCCTGTTCTTTTCTCTAATATGTTGGTAAAAAAGATGTGTCAGTTGCCTGGGGCAGAGGCACATTAAGTCATTTTTTGTTTTTATTAATGACCATAATGTGCCTATGTACATTTTCCACAGGGTGCTCGAGGCTTCCCTGGTGCTCCTGGTCTCCCAGGCCTGAAAGGTCACAGAGTAAGTTGTTTTATTCTCTGTTTTACTAAGTGGGGCCTGGGGATAATTCAGTCAAATCCTTTATAATTCCCCTGTCAACTGCCCTTCACTACTTATGATTTGCAACATTCATCTGCATACTGAAATCACAATACCACCATAAATGCCTTTGAATTTCACATGATTCTTTAAAGAAGTACTGCGTTGCATGAAATGACACCACGGTGAGCAAGGAGAGCCTCTGATTTACAACCTCAACTAATAAATGGGTACACTAGGAAATGAGGCCATCATTACACAGGGCAATGAGTGGCATGATTAAAGTGGAGCATGCTAGGTCCAACTTGGAAGACAATAGAAGGTTTTTGAAACGAAGGTAATGAATAGGAAACTATTAAATATAGTGCTCACAGATATAATCTACAATCAGCCATCTATTATATGTGTCTGTATTGGGATGTGTGTATCATCATTCTATCTCCCATCAAATTATGTATCAAAAAGCAAGGCCAGTATCAGTTACACTATGCTGGGTAGTCCCGTTTGGAGGGGTTGAAATTCTGAGTGGAATGTGTGTTGCTGTACAAGTTATCAAAAAACATCATTTTTTCGTGTCTGTTGGGGAATGGTTCCAGGAAAAGAATACATTTATTAAAACTATAAAATCCTGTAATCTGTCTAGGGCCAGTATATGTTTCTGTAGTGTAAATTTTCTTTCTATGAAGTCACATTGATCAGTACTTTCAGCTGAGATGATTACTTGTGAAATCTTACTCTTTCTTCTAATGCATTTCAATAAAGTATTGAAATTTTAGAAAAAAACAGTGAGCAATGATTTTATCCATACAAATGTGTTCTGGTTCTTCTAGCATGGTTTGGAAAACTGAAGAAATCTAAACACATTTACAAATTTATACTTTTTTTTCAGGGACACAAAGGTCTTGAAGGCCCCAAAGGTGAAGTTGGAGCAACTGGTGCCAAGGTATTTGTTTCTCACTAACCCTGACTTTGCGCGGCAGTGAGGCTGCCGTGAGCAACGTTTTAAAAGGAAATATATGGAGAAAAGAGGGACTTGGATAAATGAAAAGTCCAGTAAATAAATGTTTCCTGGTTACTCCATTCTTTTCCAAGACATTCTAGCCATTCTTTCTTTCACAAAGTGACTTATTTATACATAACTAGAGAAAACAGCACAGACCTGTCAAGGACTTCTTAAGAGGAAAACATCATTATGAGATATATGCATGGAAAATATGTTTCTAATTTTTTTGTTCCTAAATTTCCTAAGAAAATAACCTAGTTAACTTTAGCACTGTAAATTTTATTTGGGACATGTAGGACTTGTAAGTGCTCATTGACTAGAGGTGACAGTTTATATCAACCTTGTTTAAATTCTCAACTTTAGACTGTTTCTATGGTAATTAAACTTTCACTTAATTTCGAGGAAAGATAGTAAAAACGAATTCTGATATCTTTCTTTCTTTGGAAGCACAATTTTCAAATGTTCGTTTTGAAATTGTGCCTCCAACATCATGCCTGTAACTGTATTTAGATTTCTCTCACTGTGATGCACTCTGCTCTCCTTTGCTTTAGGGTGAAGCTGGTCCCACTGGTCCAATGGGTGCCATGGGCCCTCTGGTAAGCCTCCCATTCTTTAGTTATTTGTTTTTCCTGTTACAGTAAGGAAATGTTCTAATGAAAATGCATATATTTGCTAGTAGATAATTCTGAAAAGCAGTCAAAGGAAATCTGGCTCTTTATTTGGAAGCTGGACCTTCCAGGATTTCACTACTTCCCTTTTAGCAAAGTAATCAAAAATTACTCTTGTTTACTTAGCTTTTAAATCCATGTTACATGAAATCTGTTTGTATCAGGGTTTACATCTCCACAGATAAACAGATTTTCACATCCAAATTTTCTCCTTTTAATATTGCTTTTAATATCAGTTATATTATTTTATTTCACAGGTCTCTATTTTTATTGATATTATGTCTAAATTGGATGAAGTCAAACAAGTCTAGAACTCATGTTAGGTGCCTCAGGAGACTTTTTTCCTATGTCTCTTGTAGGGACCAAGAGGAATGCCAGGAGAGAGAGGAAGACTAGGTCCACAGGGTGCCCCTGTAAGTATACCTGGATCATGTATTTATTGAGAACTATGTTCAAATATTTTTTCTTCAGTTATGTCTTAGCAGATAATCTTCTTAAATCAGAGTAATATCAGGGCATATGACTTTATGGTTGGATTAGTTTTATTTTGAAGCAAATTTCAACTTTGAAATACTAGACAGTGTGACCTGACATCTAAAGCTGTGAAGAGAATTCATGGAACACAGCTCCTGCAGATTGAGTCACCATCATCCTTTTGGTCTGTTCTCCACTAAGCCTTCCCAAATGCCCAACATAGCTATTGCATGCTTAGCCTGTTCGTTTCTTCTGAGTGCTGCCTCAATTCACTGTTGGAGACAACACTTACCTCTGTACAGCAAGTCGAGGATGATTCCTCCTCTGTCTACTGCTACCTGGCCAGTGAGGAATCCAACCTCAAATGTCGACTTCCACGTTGGCCCTCTTGTGGCACATTTGATACCAGTGGACTTTGGGTCTTGGGTCAGTTTTCCTAGACAACAGCTTGAAAGCTGTGACTTGTGTGTGGGAGTCTGATGAGGGAATGCATCAGAAAGCATACCCATGAAAAATGAATAAGGAAGCAGACTTTTGAGAGAAGCCGGAGAGTGTCGCAGTTACCACAAAGACTTCAGCAAATACCTGGGCAATTGTCAGCCTGTGTAGACACGACCAAAGAAAGGGCAGCAGTGGGGAAGAGTCGGTGCAGTCTCCAGGGAAGTCAGACTGCTGCCCTCAGCAGGTGTTATCCCAGCAGACTCAATGGACCCTTCTGCATTATTTCATCCAGACAGGGATCTGGATAAACCCCGAAGAACTAATTTGAACTTAATTTTTGTTTGTGCCTCCTGTGTTATTAGTTATTTTGTTTGTTTATTTTACAAAAGCGCTTGTCCTCCAAGTTAATCTGGTCAGTAAGAAAGCCAAGATGCCCAAACTATCTTTGAATCTGAGTTTACATGACACAGGGTGTCTCAGTCAAGTATAGCAAATATTTGGATCCATTTCCTTTCCTTAATCCTGACTTTTAGTTTTGTTGTTAGTTAGTTTGTTTGTTTTTACTGATACAGGATAAATATGTTTATTGCTACCCTATATACCCACAATCTGTTTTGTATAAATTAATGCTTTTATTACCATTAGTTTAGTGGCCCTTATTGCTAGTCAGCCTTAATATTTTTTTCAATGTTTTCAGGAGAAATTGTTTAGGAAGCAAATGAATTATGAGGAAACACTGTGGAAGGGAAGATGCATTTCCTTCTTTTAATTCTCTGTTGTTTTTTTTTTTAAATTAGGGACAAAGAGGTGCCCATGGTATGCCTGGAAAACCTGGACCAATGGTGAGTTGTGTTATTTTCATATTAACTATTTAATTAATCCATTACTGGTTTGTATATTTTACATTTGATGATTTATTCATGCATTACTTTGTTTTTGTGTATACATTTACAGAATACTCACTGTGTTCTAGACACTTGGAATAAAAACATGGCAAGCACAGGTCTTAATTTTGAAAACAGAGTATATTAATTAACATAGGTGTGGAATATAATTACATTATTTGATATATAGATATCCTATCTGTTAAAAATACAGACCCCCCAAAGAATAGAAACAGGACATCATTGTATACTGATTAAAAATATATAATTGTTGATTTCTTTTTCATAGGGTCCTCTCGGGATACCTGGCTCTGCTGGTTTTCCAGGAAATCCTGGAATGAAGGTAAAATAGTAACAGCACTTGATGAGTGAAGGGCATTTCAGTAATTGAAGAGTGTGGGGGTTATTCTTTCTTTAATTAATTTGGTATTTTTTCCCTGCACAATTACAGTTTCCCCTCCCTCCCTCCTCTCCTTCCACCCCTTCCTCACCTACCTTTAATCTCCTCCTTTCTCTTTGGAAAAGGGCAGGCTTCCATGTATATCAGCCAGCCATGCTATATCAAGTTTCAGTTAAGACTAGGTACCTCTCCTATTGAGTCTGGATAAGGTAACCAAGTAGAAGTAAAGGGTCCCCCCAAAACAGGTAACAGAGTCAGAGACAGTTCTTGCTCCCGCCTGCTCTTAGGAATCCCACAAGAAGACCAAGCTACACAATAGTAACAGATGTGCCAAAGGCCTAGGTCAGTCCCAAGCAAACTCTCTGGTTGGTGGCTCAGGCTCTGTGAGTCCCTATGAGCCCAGGTTAGTTGATTCTGTGGATTTTCTTGTGGTGTCCTTGGATCCTCTGGCTCCCATAATCCTTCCTACCCCTCTTCCACAGGATTCCTCAAGGTTCACCTAAGGTTTGCCTGTAGGTCTCTGCATTTGTTTCCACTGTTGCTGAGTGAAGTCTCTCTGATAGAACTGGACTAGGCAAAAATCTCTGAGTATAGCAGAGTAACACCAGGAATCATTTATTGACTATTATTTTTTGCAAGTCCTGAGTAGTGTGTTCATGGTCCTAATGCAAGGGGATAAAAAAAGAAAATGGAGAAATTAAAACCGTTATATGATGTTACATTAAAGGAGAGTCACTTAAAGCCATAAAATTGGACTCTATAGACAGTTTTGAAATGGCTGTAAGGTAAGTAAGAACATCTGTGAGCTGGTGGACACTCTGTTCTTGGATAGAGTGTAGAAAACGATAGCAGACTGTTTAAACAATAGGAAGTTAAAATAAATTAGATCTTGCCAAAAAAAAAAAAAAGCAGTTTTCTGTTACAACATGCTGGCCGTCACTCAACCCCTTCCCGCCTCCCCACCCAATACCCTAAAGAAGTGAGTAGGGAGGGTACTTGGCTTTCCATGTGGGGATGGATTAAAGCATTCTGTGGGAATCATTTGGTGGCACAGTTTGTTCTTTCTCTCAGTTCTTTGGGAGAGAGTCAAAGACTAGAGTAGGAGGACAATAAGGTTATCTGAGCTAAGTCACATACAAATCAGAACACTGCTTCTGAGTTGTGAGCCACGGGGGTTGATTTCCTTTTGCACCAGGAGCAGGAACTTTCTTGGTCTGAAAAGAGATTTCCTCACAACACTCAGCTTGCATCCACGGCCCACTAGGAGCTTCTCTGTGCCTCATTCTCCACTAGATTTCTGTCCAGGATTAAGTGTGATGACTTGTGTAAATCCTTACCATAGGCGGTGGTCCAGCCAGTATGGTGCAGGTTCATGCTTGTTAGTAGCTCTACTCAGACAGAATGTGAATTTAGAAAGGAGAGAAGCTGCCATTATAAGTTTTAAGTGGTCTTTGACATAATTTAGTCAAATTATTCTCCAGGCTGAGAGCTTTAAGTGGAAGTCTTAAGTCATTTAACTGTCTCTGGCATCACTGAAAATGTGTCCCTTTAGGACTCTGATCTCTCAAAAGCCCTCATTCCTCTTCCTCCTCTTCCTTCCCCTTCTCTATCTCCTTGTCCTCCTTTCCACTTCCTGTTTCTCTTATGCAAAACTGGCCATTCTTCTTCTTCCCTCTCCCATCCTTTTTTTTTTTTTTTGAGTTTTCACTGATGCTTTTAAACAGGTTTCTACCACTGTTACACTACTCCCATGAAATCCAAATTTTAATACTACTGACTGGATCCAACCTCTCTTCATGATTTAATGAAAACATATAAAATTCCTTCATACTTCCACGGATACTCCCCACCCTCAAACGGAGTGCTGCCTAGGGAAATAAGGAAAGGTTACTCCCTGAGCCTTAGTCTGTGAGCTGACAGAAAGGAGTGACTTCCTACTCTACCTGCAGGCAGACATTAGTTCAATTTATTTAGTGACTTGCACAACTGTTTATTTGGGATACTGCCCTGTTCCGCTGAGCATTGGTAGGTCTCATTTTTGGCTACTGAATCCTCCTTCACAAAACTTAAACATGAAGTAAGTTGTGTGCCCCTCAGAATTTATCTCAGTGTCTCTGCCTCCTTACTTCTTCACCATAAAATCTCTGGGACCTTGGTTTTAGTTATTTATCTCAGACTATACCATAGTTTCTGGCTGTATGTGTTTCAACTTTCACATCCAGCCACTTGCATTTCCCTGAAGGCTGGAAGGAATTTAATACGTTTTGTTACTACAGATGAGCCCCTGAAAGCTTATAATTTTAGTTTTCGTAGATCCTCTAAGGCATATGCAGGATAAAATACTGGACCTGGCATGAATTTCAGAGAAACATAGGAAATGTTTGTGGTAAAAAAAAAAAAGGTCTCAAAGTTGTATAGAAGAAACTCATACTGAATTTTTTATATGAACCAAAAGTTACCTGAATATGCTGGATTTGGACTTGCTATCTTTACTGTCATCTTGGACTGAAGTAGAGGTTACTGTGGCCCTTTGCTCCATTACTAATGCTGTGATTTTAATATCTTCTAGTTCCTAGAAGAGAAAGTGTTCATTATTTTGTTAATGCATTGGTTTTTGTTTTTATGATGCTAGAAGTCATCAAGTTTATTAGCCACTTCAGAACCAGGTGTTTTCCATCTTACTGACTAGATATTTTTTGAAGGTCAATAAGTGAATATTTAGTAAGTCACAGCATAAGCTTTTCTCTGAAAAATGATTTTCTATAATTCTTCTATAGAGAGGAAATGATTTCTTGCCTCTAAATTATAGTATGAAATTTCACATGTAATTTTACAGTGAGTTTAATGCATTCAAAGAGTTATCGAGTCCTGTAAAAAAATTTAGCTATAAAATAACATTGGATGTGGGTACATTTAGAAATCTTCTGCAGCCTTCTGTGTCTCAATCAAATTGTAATTGTGTGGTTCCTGGTTAGACTCCAAATGTCCAGGTTTACATTGAACAAGCTCTTGGTAGTTTCAGATATGTAGATTTTAATGAAAAAAAACACCTCCAAATATGCAATTATCTTTAGACCATAATACCAGTATTTTACTTACATTAACGTTTTCTTTTGCATTCCTTTAGGGAGAAGCAGGTCCAACTGGGGCCCGAGGCCCTGAAGGTCCTCAGGGGCAGAGAGGTGAAACTGGTCCCCCTGGTCCAGCTGGCTCCCATGGTCTTCCTGTAAGTGTCTAAGAGCTAGCCCAGAAATATGCTAATTTTTTTAGTATCAGAAGATGTAACTTGTTTAATATAGTCAACTCTGAACTAACTCTTAGAAAAAGAAAACTTTACCTGTCAATACATCTTGATTTGTCTATCTTTTGGAAAGGGTTGTACACAAAAAGTACAGTTTTGATGTAATTGTGGATTTTTTTGTTTACAATTTCCCTGTCTCTTCTTAGATGATCTGAATAATATGCTAGATGTGTCAGACATAGTATAATATTTCTAAAACACGTTTCATGTCCTTTTTTAGGGTGCAGTGGGAACTGACGGTACACCTGGTGCCAAAGGCCCCACGGTAAGTAACAGCATTTATATCCGGTGATTTTCAAAGGGGTGCAATCCTTGGCTCTAGATTACTACCAGGTCTCTGCTTATTGTGTCACCCTTGCTTCCGGCAGGGCTCTGCTGGAACCTCTGGTCCTCCTGGCTTGTCTGGGCCTCCTGGATCTCCTGGCCCTCAGGGCAGCACGGGACCTCAGGGAATCCGAGGACAACCGGTAATGTCTCGTTACTTTTCAAAAAATAATCGTATTATTTCACCATTTCCTCTAAACCCTCCCATATACCTCCTTTTCTCTTTCAAATTCATGACCTCTCTTTACATTAATTGTTATTATGTATTGTGTGTGTGTGTGTGTGTGTGTGTGTGTGTGTACGCGCGCAAAGGTGCCAATTCACCCCCGTACAAGTCCTCTTACTCCACTCCCCATGAACGTGAACACATCCACAAAAGTTACTGCATTTCATTTTAGTGCCGACTCAAGACAGACTCAGCAGTCCATTCACTGTACTTAACTACAGCAGGTGGGTTGGTTAAATTGCTCAGTTCTTTCAACTACTGATATTTTATTTTAGGGTGATCCAGGAGTTCCAGGTTTCAAAGGAGAAGCTGGTCCAAAGGGAGAACCAGTAAGCCTTCATTATTTTAATAATGAAAAGCATAAATATTGTCTAAATATATATTGCTTAAATTTTCATGTATGAAAAATAGCATAAAATAATTATTTAATATAGTTTAAATTTTTACTGACTTCATTAGATGAGTTTCTTAACTTTAACTCAATGAATGACTCTTCCTGGAACCTGTGCTTCTGTTTTAATAGGGGCCACATGGTGTCCAGGGTCCCATAGGCCCACCTGGTGAAGAAGGCAAAAGAGGTCCTCGAGGTGACCCAGGCACAGTTGGTCCTCCAGGCCCAATGGGAGAAAGGGTACATTTGAATAATAAAATTCATTTTCCTCTCCTTTCCTGAGTGTGCATTTTGGGAGGTGGCATGAATAAATAGGAAGGAAACATAAATTAGGAGACGGTGCAGAGACCTTGCATAGTATGCTATGTTTATCATCAAGTATTGACTGATTAATGTAAGCCAGGTAGTGCTTTAAGTGCTCCAGGATACATCAGTAAACAATCAGTAATCCTCATGTGGGTTGCAGTGAACAGCATTATTTACTGGGTGGCAAACAATAAGTCAACAGGTAAATAAAACACATTTTAATAAGTCCTCCTTACAGTATTAAATAATTGGTGATAGTGGAGAGTAACCATGGATATCTAACAGTAGTGGTGACAGTGGGGCATAAGAAAACAGACCTGAAGGGACTATAATCCCTTAGATTTGTGTAGAGTTTTACTGAAATCCAAGGTCATCTTCTCCTATAAGATAATACAAAACATGCTAATGTTGGCGTTTTAATTGCTATAGACAGTGATTTTGCTTCAGGGTCTACATATTAGTTTTTCTGTGTTTATTTTATAATTAATTATTGGAGTATGTCTTCTTGAAGATTTGGTTTAATACTCATCTTCATCAAATTTTCAATATTCTTCTAGTGAGATTATTTTCTTCATATTTATCTTTTGCTATGTTAACTTGACCAGAGCTCTGAAAACCTGGTAACACCAAAAATAAAACCTATTCATCAGTTATGTCACACAATCTCAGAACTGCATTTTGGTTCATTTTAGGGTGCTCCTGGCAATCGTGGTTTTCCAGGGTCTGATGGTTTACCAGGGCCAAAGGTAAGATCACATCTAGGCTTACATTTCCAGAATGGGGATGTGTCCCTGACCCACATGACTCCATACCCATAAGGAACATAGAAGCAGGTATTGGGGGGTAACCCCAAACCTCTCTAGTCTATTATTTTATCTTTTGACCATTAGGAATTCCTAGGACATAGACGGGTGTTGTAGTAATATGAGACCTTGCTTCTAGACTTCTGGAAACAAAAGGTTATAGAGCTTTAGTATGGACGATGTAACCTTTAAATGAAATTTAAACTCTAAAACTATTTCCTTGTTGGAGTGAGGCTGTGATTTCATCTTTATTTAACGGTGAATAAGACCATTTTAACAGGGGATACAATTTAGAACAAAACATTAAGTGACATGGTTTTAAAATACCTCTTTGTCAAATCTTTGACAAAATGGTTGCATATCACTGTACAAATAGGAATTTAATGTCTTCTTGCTTTGTTTCAATTCTGTCCTGTCTGTCGTCTTTGGAATAGGGTGCACAGGGAGAGCGAGGTCCTGTAGGTTCATCGGGACCTAAAGGAGGTCAGGGAGACCCAGGACGTCCAGGTGAACCTGGACTGCCAGGTGCTCGGGTAAGAACCCTGTAGTTATATGCTGTCAACATCCAATGCTTCTGCCTTCATTGATGTTTCATTTCCCATTTTTATATTTAGATTATTTTACAACATAGGCCATCCTTTTAATAGTTTTGGATGTATGCATTATTTTAGAAATGCTGGTATGCTATTTTTGACATATACATAAAGTACATTCTTTTTTTTTTAATTTGTTTTGGTTTTTAGAGGAAGGGTTTCTCTGTAGCTTTGGAAGCTGTCCTGGAACTCACTCTGTAGACCAGACTGGCCTCGAACTCACAGAGATCCCCCTGCCTCTGCCTCTAGAGTACTGGGGTTAAAGGCATTTGCCACAAATGCCTGTCTAAGTACAGTAATTTCAAAAATATCTTCTTAAAGCAATGTATACAAATAGCTTCACTGCTTGTCCTGGGAACAGTATCTACTTGTAAATTTTTGCAACTTCCAATTTTTTGCTAAAAAATAACCTGTTTGACCTTTCATAAAGAAAATTGTTTCAATTTAACAAGATTTCATTTAAAATATTTTATTTGAGCTACAAAATTGCCCTTCCTTTTAGTTATTTGCAATGAAGTATGGTTTTTCTATTTTAAAGTCTTTATACCAACTGCTATTCAGCAACAAGTTAACAATTGATTTTCATTTTCAGGGCCTTACAGGAAACCCTGGTGTTCAAGGTCCTGAGGGAAAACTTGGGCCTTTGGTAAGTAATTTAAATAATCCCATCACTTTTAGCGTTTCCCAGTAGATGTGTAAGTTATATTTATTTATCCTGTGAATGGTGGTCATGAGTACATTTTTAAGGTCCCTCTAGCAACAACTTCTTAGTATCTAACAATTTTCAAATTGAGCAAAATAAAAAGTTAAATTCTCTTAATTAGATGTTTGAAACTAAAATTTATTCAGTGAAAAAGCTAAAATAATACTATTGTTAAAAATTGTTTAAGAGTATTCTCATTCCCTGGTGGCATTCCACTTGTACATGTTTTAGAAATAAATATGTTGTCAGCTTATGTACCCTGAGTCTTTTCTTTAGTGTGAAATGGGAATTTTAAATATTCAAGACTATAAAACAGAGTAAATGAAAGAAAGGAAGGCAGACCCCTTCACATGAGGTGGTCAGGAGATGGTGACAAAGAAGTTTATGAAAGGAGCAAAATTAGAATTTCTGGTCTAAAGCTCCAAGCGCCTCAGGTCTTCAAACCAAACCAAACCAAACCAAACCAAACCAAACCAAAAAACCATTTGGCTCTTCTCATTCACTAAGATATAAACATAAGGAAATTAATGTTTAGCTAAGATGACTTTTATGGCTACCTAAGTCAGGTGAGAATGTGGGCAGAACTGTGCTTCAAATTCAGCTTACCTGCCTGCTGTGAACTTTGCAGGGTGCTCCTGGGGAAGATGGCCGGCCGGGTCCTCCAGGCTCAGTTGGCATCAGAGGACAGCCTGGAAGCATGGGCCTTCCAGGCCCCAAAGGTAGCAGTGTGAGTACAGAGAAGAATGTTTAACAGCTATTGGGATTCCTCAGCTGGAGATCAAGGTATATTTCTTGAACTGAATGAATTTAGAATAGTGTCCATGTATTCCTTAGGGTGACCTTGGAAAACCAGGAGAAGCAGGGAATGCTGGCGTTCCTGGACAAAGGGTAGGCATTCATTTTATGGTATTTAATAAAAAATATTAACGCCATCGAAATTCTGATAGCCTCACCTAAAATGTCATGTCTTTGTGATCCTAGGGGGCTCCTGGAAAAGATGGAGAAGTTGGTCCTTCAGGCCCCGTGGGGCCTCCGGTATGTGATATTTTTGATGACATTGTATGTTGCATTTCTCAGTGTTTCTTCAAGATTATTCATGAATAAGTTCAGAATGAGAAATAAGGGACTGGAGATGAATTTCAGTTGTCTTTTCATTTTATTCCTCTGAAGTATTGCTTTCTTTTTCTTGGGTAAAAAGATTGATCTCATTTTAAATTGTAAAATGGTATCTAGTTTCAAAGGTGGTTACCCCTTGTATACCATAGTTGAAGACAAACATAGTGTTTGAAAATGTATTAATTTAAAATGTTTAAATGAAAAATTATTCTTAAAATTTTAAAATGTAATTTATAAAACATATTTAAGTTGGCTGGTTTTGAAAAGGTAAAAAGAAATCGTGTTCATCTTTAGATGTTATGCTTTCCTCTTGAGATTTTTAAAAATTGTTTATCAAAGATGTTTTGACATTAGTTTTTGTGGGGTCAGTCTAAGTAGTCTCTCAAACATTGACATTGCTTTCTTTAATCGTTCTATTTTGAAATTATAATGAATAAAAATAAACTTGTGTAGAAATAAAACCCTTTAAATTGGATGTAGGAAATAATGGATTTCTTATAATACATCTATGGTTGGCTCTAAATATTTTTTGTTTGAATTAAAAACAAAACAAAACAAAAACAAAACCACACTGTAATTTCTTTACTGGATTTTTAAATGAAATTTTCTTACTTTCAAGGACTTCAAATAATGGGATTTGGTGATTCTTATTACTAGTGTGTTATCTGGCTAATATGTAGAGCAGGTGGTTGGAAGAAATACAAAGAGATCAATACTTTTTGTTCATATAAACAAGAAACAGACAAACACTTCTGACAAGATTCATTTTGTTTTTTTTTCTCTTTTGTTTAGGGCCTAGCTGGGGAAAGAGGAGAGCAGGGACCTCCAGGCCCTACTGGCTTTCAGGTATGCACTAGTTTTCATTTATTCTATGAACTGCTTTTTTAAATTGTTTTTAAAATACTACAGAAAGCAATCAGTTGTGAATTCTCACACCTGCACTCCTACCAGTTAGAGGATTGAGTTAAAGGGGTGGCTTTGCACACAGGGTCAGCCTGTGGTACTTATTAAGTTCCAGATCAGGCTAGAACACAGGAGACCCTATATATATGAATAGTTATGTGCACATGCATCCATGGACATGATAGAATGTTTCAAAGGTCTTTCGTTTTCAAAGTAGACATCTTTTAGGATAGTTGTGTATAACCCAACATTGTTGTTCAAAAGCAGGGAATGACCTTCCTCTGAAAAAAATGATTGAACACAAACCTGGTATGAAATTAATGATAATAGAATGTTCCCAATATCTCAACAGGTTCATTAAACTTTAGTATATTCACAGAATGTTTCCATATAGCACACATTATTTAAGGACACAAAACAATTAAGTTTGGTGAAATGTCAGTCAGACCTTCTTCCAATAATATTCTAGCAGGTACAAAAGTGCTAGAGACAAAACAAACATGAAGAGCCTTATATTACATTATCTTAACTTTTAAGAGGTACGGGTAAATAAGAATCCAGCCTTTTAAATAGACTATTCCCTGTACCTTCTAGTAGGTGGCTTTCCCAATGTATTTGGACAGTATTTTTCCTAACTTTTGCTTAATATGTCCATGCAACGTTTTTTGCATGGAGGTTGAATAAAGTATAAAATGTAAACTATTTAGTTTTGGTAGCTGATAAAACTTGCTGTGAATAATTAGTTTTATTTGACACTCTTATTTTAGGGGCTTCCTGGGCCTCCAGGACCTCCAGGAGAAGGTGGAAAGTCAGGTGATCAAGTAAGTTTTTAAATAGTAGCATCAAAAATATGAATTGGTAGGTTATAATACCCTCTTGGATAGGTGAAGCTCTAGTATTTTTTTCTGTTCAATAATGAACATTTACAGATGAAGGAACTCAGTTGTTGTGTGATTTCCCCAAAGTTACACAACTCCTCCACTTGAACCCAACTCAAACGCTTCCTATGCACATGATATTACTTGGTGATTCACAGTCTGGAATTGATATAAACATTTTAATGGAACACGGATTTGCTTTTTTATCTGTGAGGAATTAATTTGTTTATTACCATTCAATAAACATTTCCTGAACATTCTATGTGCTTGGCTCTGCTAAGCACTGAACCTCTCAGCTGGATAATTGGTTGGGGATTCTGTAGCTCTGTATTTCCAAATAACAGAAGAGAAAGAATGTAATAATAGCATGATGCAGATGCTACAGCAGAGGAGGCACTATAGATGACGATTTCATGGTATAGGAAGACTTTCTAAAAGGAAGATTGTACATATTATCCTAAATGTTGTACATCATATCCTAAAATCTGAAGGATAAAAGGTGGAAAATACTTCAGGAAGTGGGAACGGCAAGTGCCAATGGTTGCTGAGAGACTTAAGGCACTGTAAAAATGCGGTGTCAGACTTGTGGAATACAGTGAGAGTGGTAGAGACAAGGCTGGAGGGGAACCAGACTGAAGGGAGCCCTTCATTGAGTTTCATGAGGGAAACTGGCAAAAGGCTTTGAAGCAGGAAGTGCTGCAGCCAGACTTGGGATTCAGGACTGGTGTAACAGCGAGAGCAATGCACTTCCAAAGAGAAATCTGGAGGCGAACTTGACAAAGTTATTATCTTTCTTTCTTTTTAATTCTTCTCTCACATAATACATTTTGACCACAGTTTCCACTCATCCCAGTCCCTCCCCAACACTGCTCTTCCCCATCCACTCTTCTGCCCTTTCCCCTCAGAAAAGAGCAGGCCTCCCAGGGATATCAATCCATCAAGGCATAACAAGTTACAATTAGTCTAGGCACAAACCCTCATATCTAGGCTGGACAAAGCAACCCACTAGGAGGAAAAGGATTTAAGAGCAGGCAGAAGAGTCAGAGACACTGCTGCTCCCACTGTTAGGATCCCACAAAACCCCCAAAGTAAATAACCACAGGTACCTAACATAGACACATGCAGGCTCCATGCTTGCTGCTTCAGTCTCTATGAGCTCCTATGAGCCCTGCTTATCTGATTCTGCTGGTTGTGTACTCCTGATGCCCTCAACCCCTCTGGCTCCTACTATTCTTCCTCCCCCTCTTCCATGGGTTCCCTGACCTTATTAAAGGAAGAAGTTTTGAAATAGCTTTACTTCAATTGTGATCCCATAATTCCTAGTGGAATGTATATCTATATATATGTATCATTGAAATTGAATTAGTTGAAATAACTGGTTTGTATGTGCTTTTGTACATTACTTTCCTACTATTTAAACACTTTCTCATACTCTGTTTTAAAAAAGATACTGTAACTATATTCTGTTATCTCTAAAAAAATCTAATATGCTATCTTTGTGAGAGAATAGTCTACACATTCTCATTGCCAACAAAACCAGGCATTTAGGTTAAAACAAATCTTTGCATAAAAACATGATATTCCCTCAATTGTAAAAGTTAACATATTTTTAATTCTTTAATATTTATTTTAATGGGATGATGAAGAAAATGTGATGTTTGATCTGGAAATATTTCTAATAGTACAAGAGCTAGAGTAATGTTTTTCTTCCATTTTTCAAATTGTGTAGGGTGTTCCTGGAGAGCCTGGAGCAGTTGGTCCTTTAGGACCTCGGGTAAGTATTTTCTCTTGTGTCATTCATTTTGTTTCCCATTAGCTACAGAATAAAACTAACTCTTATATCCTGAAGGCTGTTTTATTTTTAAGTATTAAGTAGTTCTATGGTTTGGAGAATTCATGAGATACCTGTCTTGTGAACAACATAGAGTATCTTTAGTTCTAGTTCATTTCTTGGTACTAAATTAGTCATTATAGTGTCTCCATTATAATAATTTCTTCAGTCAAATACATTTTTTAGAAACCTTTTAACTCATTTAGTTTAATATTGAGGTTATCTGACATCCTGCTGTCATGCTAGGGAGAAAGAGGGAATCCTGGAGAAAGAGGAGAACCAGGAATAACCGGGCTGCCTGGGGAGAAAGGCATGGCTGGAGGACATGGCCCTGATGGTCCAAAGGTGAGTGCCATAATGACCTGGGTTTTCCGAGTGCCCTAGAATTTACCAACTGTCTCTGGTATTTCCTGTGATAACTTGATTAAATTCTTTCTTCTTCAACAAATCTTTAATGGTTGCATTTTGGTTTTCCCTGGCAACTAGAGAGTGAACTTTCTGTGGTGGGAATGATGACCCCAGACACAGGGTACTCCGCTTATGTTCCCCATGCTTGTATGTTTTGTTGATAACATCTACGAATTAACAGGGATGAGAAATGGAAAATCACTTACTGGTAGCATCTATGAATGAGAGAGACAAGAAAGGTGCATCACAGTTTATTAGTGGGCACAGCAAACCATGTGCCCATGTTCTTCATCTGGGCTCCAGGATTACAGTTAATGCCTGTTTGAAAGTATTTAGCTTTGAATATAGTGCAGCATTGAGAACATGCCTGTGTGGTTTCATGTGCTGTTTTAGGATCAGTGGACAACAATGTAACCAACTTTCATGTGTGGAACTGAAGTGGAATTTCACATCATCATAGGACTAAGAGGCCTTTAATATCATCAAAGTCCACAGTGATGAGCAAAACCAATCTGAATTTGATTATACAAATAGCTGGGAACCAGCTTAATCTCACAGGTTTTCCAAGGAAATAATGAAATGTTTCTTTTTTTATTAATGGGTCTGTCGTGGTCAGAGGAGGGAAACACAAAGGCAATTTAATTAATTATATTTGAAAGAAGATTCATTTTTATTTTTATTCAAATTTGTGTTTAATTATGTATAAATATAGGGTAGGTATGAGTCATGAAACTAGGGTGAGACCATGAGAGGGGTAAAGGGATATTGACTCTGTGTGTGTGTATGTGTGTGTGTGTGTGTGTATGTGTGTGTGCGCGCGTGCAACATGTCACACAGGTGACATGAAAGTAGAAAAGAAGCCACTAGAGGTGGTATAGTACAAGAGATGCCAAGAGGGTGGGAAGGCATGAGTAGGATCCACAATGAAATCTAATAATTTATACACTAATTGCAAATAAAAATTAAATGCATATAAATGAACAGTTAAGTTGGAAAAATGAACAATATAATAGAGGGGCTGAAGTTAACAAAAGAGAGAAATTAGAAATTTAAGCCAAAACTCAGAATATCAATCAAAGCTGTTTTTAAGAACTCCCAATGAGACACAGTTTCCCTAAGTGCAAAATCTGAGCATTGTGCCATACTATCTAACTGCTAACATTCAATTATTTTAGACTGGCAAAAACTCCAACTTCACACGTTTTAATATTAATATACTAACATCATCTCATCATTTATTCATTTTAGGGCAATCCAGGTCCCACTGGGACCATTGGAGACACAGGGCCACCAGGTCTTCAAGGCATGCCAGGAGAAAGAGGAATTGCAGGAACACCTGGCCCCAAGGGTGACAGGGTAAGTCCTGTTTTATGTTAATTTTCCCAGTGTATGTCTTGAGATTTTCTATGATAGTATTTCCTAAGCAGCCTTTTATTTCAATCAGCCTGAGTAATAAGTCCTATTTTTCTTCTAAGCATCTTTATTTTTTGAGAATATGCATAGTCAGGTACTATTGTAGGTGGTACTCTGAGCTATGAAGGAGACAAGTAAACATTTGCCCTCAAGAAGCTTCATCTGGAGCATAGGAAGCACAGGTAAACAAACAACCGGTATTTTGTTGTTTTGTGTTTTTCCAGGGTGGCATAGGAGAGAAAGGTGCTGAAGGAACTGCTGGAAATGATGGAGCAAGGGTAAGGGAAAGTATATCTTCTTGCATGAGCTACAAACCTACGTTATCATTCATTCTACAAACTTCCTTTAAATTTTAACAATAAAGTTATTCATGCTGATTTATGTTCAAGAATATAAAGACGATGCCTTTTGAGACTTGATGTAGATCGACAGTGGTATTTATTTTACTTACCCTGCATTACAGTAATACAATAAATAAATAAATAAAGCAATAGAATACATAAAGCTATCCCTGTATCTACTATGCTTCTAAAAATATGTGTGATAGATCAGGGAAAATAAAAATTATTTGTGGCAATACATTGTTTTAGGAAAGAGGCATTTCCTGTAAGAAAGCAACAACATGTTTTCTCTGTATTAATAACATCCTCCCCTATATGAACAGGATGTTTTTATTACTTATGCATGTAAGCAATGAGCTGGTTTTTTTTATGAGAGAGGGTTTCTCTGTATTGTTTTGGAGGCTGTCCTGGAACTCACTCTGTAGTCCAGCCTGGCCTCGAACTCACAGAGATCCGCCTGCTTCTGCCTCCCGAGTGCTGGGATTAAAGGCGTGCACCACCACCTCCCGGCATGAGCTGGTTTTTACTCAGGTCTCAGGAAGTGTTCTAGGAAAATTATTATAGGAATATGTTTTCTGATATAGATCTGGAAAAAAAGAAAAAGTTTTTCACAAGAAAACACAATTATCAGTTTTACTCTTTATGTTCTTTCAACAATGCAAATATAACTTTAATGACAAAAGAATGTTGGACTGCTTATGAAGAAGAAACACAAGCTAGCAGAGCACTTTTTTCTAAAGAACCCCAAACAACCCAGCCACTTACAAATTGAGATTATGTGTCCTGAATCCCAAGGCATTGCCCCAGGTGGTAACTGTCCCTACATTCCCCATATAGAGGATACATCAACAGCAGTGAGCCTTGACTATGGAAGGCTCTTTCATTTTCAACCCTGAAGACATGTATAATTGCATTTTTAATAAAATCATTGCATTTTTGTTATTATATTAAAATTGAAGAAAATATCACAAAAGGAGAGCCAATTTTCAATCTATACCCAATTTCAAAATAGATACTAGCAAAATTAAACAGGTTATAAAATCAAATAAACATTGGCAAAGAAAGCTGCTAATTTAGAACTAATTTGAAGACAGTTTCATGTATTGAACAGGGTTAGATGAAAGAGGTCAAAACATTACGTAGAGAAAATCTGATTGCTAGTGTATGGACGACATGGCAAAAGTCTTGAGAATGTAGAGGTGGTGTTGTCTGTGGTAGGAAATGACTTGCAAAAGCAGTCATGCTACAAAAACACTAGCTGGTTTGTTTGCTTATTTACTTAAGCATGGAAATTTATATACACATTTTCCTTCAATGTACATATGTTCTGTTAATTTGCAGGGTCTTCCAGGTCCCTTGGGGCCACCAGGTCCTGCAGGGCCTACTGGAGAAAAGGTAAGTTAAAAGAAGTCACTGTGCACTCCAAAACAGCAAGGCCTAAAATGTTGCTGTTTCCCAACACTGTGGTAGAGATAGATCATCTCAGAGTTTGGTCTACTTACACATGGTGTCTAGTGGTCTTCAATTGTATTATGTATTGGATACTTAGCTATCTAAAACCTATTTTCTAGGGTGAACCTGGTCCTCGAGGTTTAGTTGGTCCTCCTGGCTCTCGTGGCAATCCTGTAAGTGAAAATCTTTTGATAATCTTTAGTGTGAGGTTGAACACTAAAAGATTTTTTCTTTTGTTGATCTATCTATTTATCTATCTATCTATCTATCTATTATCTATCTAATTAATAACCATCTGTCTCTTTATGTAATTCTCATGTTTATTCTGATAAGTTATTTATAGCTCCATGGTTTTCAAATTTCATTTTCATTAAACTTAAAAAATTATTGGCTGCACAATCTATTAAATCTCGGTAAATAGAACTTTTCTAAGTAATTAAGTTTCTTTGATCTTGAGAATTTTGTTCAATGACCTCCAATTTATTATCTCACTTAAGGATATTCCTCAAGCAATGCAGTCGACTTCCCTATATACAGTTAACTACATAAAATGTACACTCTATGTGTGAAAGGTTCCATCCTTCTTGTCTCCTTTTAGGGTTCTCGTGGTGAAAATGGTCCAACTGGAGCTGTTGGTTTTGCTGGACCCCAGGTAAAAATTCAAATGTTTCCAACTTATAAATTAATACACTTCTTAGTAGAGAAATGAGTTTAAGTGTTAATTCTCATGTTTTAAGATATATTAAAATATTTAACTTTTAAAATATTTTATGTGTTATTCAACATATTTTTCATGGGTGGAACAAAAGATGATGCTTATAATATTTTAGCATATGTAGTTTTTTTTTATATAATGAACATAGTCTAAGATTTTTTCCCAAGATGTTATTGAGGTTTTGTTCCCCCATGCCATGCTTAGACTAATTAAATAACAGCATCCTATAAGACTAAATGGCATGTTAGTATTAATTACTATGAAATGACTTGTTTATAAATATTAAAAACAGTTACTCATTTGAAAAATTGCATTTAGGGTCCTGATGGACAACCTGGAGTCAAGGGAGAACCTGGAGAGCCGGGGCAGAAGGGAGATGCTGGGTCTCCTGGACCACAAGGGCTAGCAGGATCACCTGGCCCTCATGTGAGTTAAAAATGAAAAGGGAAATTTGACACCAGGGCCCAATATTTACAATGCACAGTACCTGCATTTAGCTTACACTGGCGGTGTTTCTTTCTTCCATCCAGGGTCCGCATGGCGTTCCTGGACTGAAAGGTGGTCGGGGAACCCAGGGTCCGCCTGTGAGTCTCTTTGTTATTCTGGGAATTGTGCACAGCCAGTTGCAAACATCAAGTCACCTAAGGATGTAATAACATGTTATCCTATGTATCAGCCGTACTATAGAGCAAAAGGTGCTTAGCTTAAGCTGGTGATCTGGGGTGAAGATCAGTTTTTTTTTTTAGTAGTGAAAACCCAACTGCTTCATATGGAGCAGAGATATTACATATCAAAGTAAAAACGCTTTATGTAGTTGGTTTTAGCTCAACTTTTATATGCTTCATAAATAAAAGTCAAAATAGAAAAATTGTGTAACTCTATCAGTTAATCTAGATTCTCTAAAGCATTTGAGGACCGAGAGGAAGGGAAGGGATCAACAGGCCCCGAGCCTCCTGTGTGAAATGTAAGCTTCAGGAAAATTAAGAACTGATGTGATCTGGACAGATTGTATGATGTTTTTTCTCAGGGTGCTACAGGATTTCCTGGTTCTGCAGGCAGAGTTGGGCCCCCAGGCCCTGCTGTAAGTCAATTTAGATTTACATCATTGGTAGTAATTCTAATGCATGTACTTGCATGTGCACTGCCACACATGTGGTATTTTAATTATTATTTTTATTTAATCTCTTACTGATTTGTTTTCCTCTTGGTCATCTTGTAATCACAGTGACATTTCACCAAAGCAAATTCAAAGTTTCCAGTCAATGAACTTGGAAGAGATTATTTGCCTGTTCTTTCTAAGCTAATGTTTGACCCTGCTTCTGCTTGAGTTCTACGTACCTTTTTTGTTATGAGCTAATAATAAATCTTAGAATGCATCTCTAAAATCTCCAAAAAGTTCTTCTTAAAAGTTCATTCTTTTTATATATACATGTGTGTGTACCTGCATGAGTTTATAAAACACATGCATGCAGGAGTGAGTGGAAGCCAGAGAGGGTGTTGAATCCTCTGGGACTAGAGTTAGAGGTAGCTGTGCTCACCTGCAGGTGCTGGGCATCAAACCCATGTCACAGGCAAGAGGCATGAGGGAGCTTGATAGCTTCACCATTATGGCAGCCTCTGAGAGTTTCTTTAGTAAATTCAAATAAAATAAAACATTATAATCTATGGTTGGAACAGAACCTTAAACACACATGGAAATTAAAATTAATTTCATAGCTCTTAATAGTGAGGGATTAAATGGTCATCTGAAAATGAGAGTTAGGTTTTTCTTAGGCATTAATCTATGGTAAGCTTTGTTTTCTTTTGCTTTGCATAAGTATTGGAAGTGACCAATTATCTAGGAAAATAGCAAACAATCCTGTAGGGCTGTGGCCTCTGTGGCTGAGGCAGAACCCTTTGGATAAATTCTTCTTACTTACCTTCCATTATTCCCTTCTCATTGTTTGTTTTTGTGTGATGCCAGGGAGCTCCAGGACCCGCGGGGCCCATAGGGGAGCCTGGGAAAGAGGGACCTCCTGGTCTTCGTGGAGATCCTGGCTCTCATGGGCGAGTAGGTGATAGAGGACCAGCTGGCCCACCTGGTGGCCCAGGAGACAAAGGAGACCCAGGAGAAGATGGACAGCCTGTAAGTTTGGCATCTGTTTCATTACAGCTCCAACTGGAATATTTATAAGAAGAACCCTGTAATAATCACTACCATAAAATCTATCAAAATATTATTCTGAAAACATTTCTAAATGCTTTAATCTCACCAAGTTATATACAATTTCTAATTCTCTGCTATGAAAGTGTGTATATATATATCGATAAGTTTACAAAAGGTTGAAGGATGTGGCTTTCTAAAATAAACCAAAAGACATTCATTATTGAATATCTCCTATGTGAAGAAAGTAAAACATACATTATCATATTTAATATTTACATACTACTAAATATTATCACTTTTAGAAATATAATCCTTCTAAATTTGCTTTTTGTCCTTTTAAAAATGAGAAAAAAATTTTTCCAATAGCTCTTTCCTTTTATTTTCACTCGTTATCAAGTTGCTTTCCAAGTGTTGAATAATGTTAGAGGCTGTACTAGAACTCTTAAGTATTAACATTCACAGTTTGATGAGATGAGATAACTTTTTTTCCTCATACCTCTTCAAATTCTACAAGGCTACAGTCAGCTATATAAATTACTCAGATATGGACTATTCTGTAGAGTAGTAATTATAGTCTGCCATCCCCATTAGGGTCCAGATGGTCCTCCTGGTCCGGCTGGTACCACTGGGCAAAGAGGGATTGTAGGAATGCCTGGACAACGTGGAGAGCGAGGCATGCCTGGTCTTCCTGGCCCAGCGGTGAGTAGCTGTTGGTCAATACTCATTTCGTAGAAAGAATTGATTTGTTTTGCTTGATGAGTTGATTCAAACAGTCTTAAGCTGACATAAATTCCTAGCTTTTAAAAACCTTTGATCCTTAATGTTAAATGTTTAACAACCTTGACAAACACTTGTTTAACCTTGGAGCTAGTGTTTGAATGCTTGGTGACTCATGTATGTCTTCAATGATAGAAATGATGCTAGTACGGTGGTTTGGTAGTATCTTTTAAAATAAACATCCTTAAAAAAACAACCATGCTTCTTAGTAAACCATAAAAGATAATAGGTAAGCTGAGGTCACATTGGAAGTGATTGTGGGTGAACTATAATCTCCTGTTTCCCATGGTTGCTTGAGGATCTCATAGTCTTGGGAATACAGAAGGAAGTTTGATGCTGTAAAAACTCCGAAGTAGTTGATGTTACCAGTGAGTGGTTACAACGTTTGATGGGAAAATGGTGTTTTTATGGAATGTGGACAGAGGTTGGGCTCCTGGTATGTTAAACTAGAAGAACTTTGGGTAGAAATATGAAGCCAACATTTAGGAATTCAAGTTTATCTTGATGATAACAGAACTGAGGCAAGAACTGGAAAGTAAAATTCTTCAGTGATGAGTCTAAAGTACTGGGACACATTTAAAACAAATGAGCTGAAGAAAAAAAAAAACAAATCCCAGGAGTGAAAAGGGTGTATATCTTTGTAGTTATACAGATTCCAGAAGGAAAGCCATAATTGACTACATATATTTTAAACACAAAATGCAGGTGGTACAGGATGCTTCTGTCTCTATGATATGTCAGAAGTAAGGTGATAAGACGTGGGCATGTCTTCAAGTAATCATGGGTGCCGTACGATACTGGACAATTCTTTCTGTAGGAGGAGAAACTGAAGCACTACTAAATAAATAGATCCTTCTGGAAACTGGTATTCCTAATTTTTTTCTGCAGTGGTTGACATATTTGTGCTTTAATTTCAGGGCACACCAGGAAAAGTAGGACCAACTGGTGCTACAGGAGATAAAGGTCCCCCTGGACCTGTAGGACCCCCAGGCTCCAATGGTCCTGTAGGAGAACCAGGGCCAGAAGTGAGTGCTGATCTCTAAAGAAAATACCTTCTCTTTCAGCTGAGTGTGATGGGGATAATCCTTCCATTATGAAGCCGATGTAGATATTTAGGGATGGATTGCACAGAAGAGCTTACGAAAGATTCTTGTCAGGCTGTTTAATGTACTCCACCTCCCTAGAGAGTTGCTAAATATTAGAGAAACTAAATCAGTGCCCTTGTACTGACTTTCATAAAAGCTGTGTTGAGGATTTCCATTGATTTAGCTTTGGGGAAATTGTTTTGAAGGTGGAAGGACATAGCCATTCATCTTTCCCTTGTTACTGTAATGGGATATTTATCAAATTGCCAAACTTTTCAGTGATAGGATTGATGAAACTATTGCTGCTCATGAAGAAGAAAGAAGAAGTAGAGGACATTCCCCTTTATCACTACAGAGTAACATTGTGATTGTCACATCCCATTAGTTCTTTTAAGAGGAAGTACAATGTTGACAGGCAATTTGAGACACTAGAGTCTGGAATACCCTTCGGCTCGGCCGCTTAATGAGTCAATTGCCAAAAGATCACGTTCTCATGAAAGAATTGATCAATGATTTTGAAGCTAATTTTATCAAAAAATTAAAACATAATTCTGAAAATTATCAAAGCAAAATAAGGAAAGAATAATATACACTTTTAAATGGAATCATATAATATAAGCACAGTTATCTGGTTTCAAAACCTTAAAAATATTATTTGGGAAAGCAAAGTGGGAATTCAGACAAAATGCAAGATAGCAGCACTGTAATTTTGATCTATTTAAATGTGTCTGAGGACCTTTCTTTGTAAAATTGAGAACTAGAGGCAAATAATTTGAGCCAATAAGAATGTGGTAATTTTAGAAGCAATTGAAAATATGAAGAAATTGGCAGCCATTTTTCTCCTGCTAAGGTTCCTATTGAGTGCTATTTTATAGTTTAAAGAAGAGTAAAGTACAACATGTTGCTCCTTTCCTGTCAACTGGGATGAATGTTGTGAAGCAATGTCTCAAACACTGTTCTTTTTAGGGTCCAGCTGGTAATGATGGTACCCCAGGACGGGATGGTGCAGTTGGAGAACGGGTGAGTGCAATGCTACCGATTAGAGTGATAGAGTCACATAAACCTGAAATCACTGTAATTCTAGTGTAATAATGATGATAATGATGATGATGTTGATAACAGTTATCCCCATAGGCACAGTGCAACTCTGACTTTTCTGATGGCAAGCTTTTTAGTAAGGTTATAACCTTGGATTATCTTTTAAATGAAATGATATTTGGATGCATGACAAAGTATGACATATATTTCAAGAGTAAGGAACAAAAATGTTTTCATATTTGGTGTGACATAGAGACTTTGTGTGAAGATTTAAGTGGACCTTCTAAATTTCCATATCACTCACATAGCTGTATGACATCTACATTTTTCTATTTATTCCCCAAAGAGATAAGTTATAAGAATATAAGCCATGATGCTTGCTAAGTGGTAGACACACTGTGTATTTTTAAATTAGACCTGCATTGAGCTGACAATTTTCCCAGGTGTATCAGCAGCTAAGTCTCTTTTGATGGTTGCACAGCTGTTAGGAAACAGATCCAGCCACCAAGGGCAAATCAGCCACAGGACACTGAGTTTTCTGAGTCTATTTCCCAATACCTTAAATATGCTTAGTGCAAGTGTTTACATGCTAATACCAGGCTTAAAATTCTTCTGTAGAGTAAGGACTCAAGAAGGCTTGTGTATTATAACAGGAGCGTGGAGTGTTTCAGGGGTGGTGGTCCTGGGCTAAAACTCTCCTTATCTATCATAGCCACAGAAAATTTTCTAACATCTGGAGAATTTGCCCTTACTGGTGTATACATGGAATGCAGAAAGCATTCAAAGGTCTTGAAATGCACTCCCTGAAATATTATTGCAGCTTCTTGAACTCCTACGTGCACTTTAAACTGCTGTTTTGTTTTTAATCCCAAAGTTGAATGCATACAGCACAGGCAATTCCTTGCAACTTGCAGCTGTTTGTGTGCTTTAAAAGATGTGTTTTCAAAATCTTCTCTTCAGTTTATTGTATATGTGCTCTTTAGCTTAGATGCAAATGTTAATTCTAGCTGCCAAATTACTTATTTATATTTCATGTATGAGTGCTATGCATGCCAGAAGAGGGCATCAGATCCCACCATAGATGGTTGTGAGCTACCTACCATGTTGTTTCCGGGAATTGAACTCAGGACCTCCGGAAAAGCAGCCAGTACTCTTAGCTACAGAGCTATCTCTCCAGCACTCCAGACCACTTCTCCAGCTGCCCTAGCTGCCAAATTAATACGTCAAGATAGAATTAATTTGTCAGAAAATGAAGTTTGACTCCCTTTATTGACTCATTAGTTGTCCACGCATGCTCATGCCACATTGATTTTAACCTGTGCCAACACAAGGAGCTATTATTTAGAGCCTTGTCGTATGGGTCATAGAGCGAAAGGAGGGAGGACTCTTTCCCAGTTTTCCAAGTGAGACCTTAACAATATGAAGACATCTTTGTGTGCCCCTCGGAAGCAGTTACTTTCAAGGGCACTGTAGCATACAGGACTGCAACTGTCATAGTGTTTGCCTTCTTCCATGAGGTGGGGAAGGAGAAGGAGTAAAGAACTCTCAGAATCAGTATTCTGAGACTCCATGGAGCTGAAAATGTAGGAAGTGGTTTCCTTAACATTTTCCCACTCTGAAATTACGGTGTTTTAAAAACTTGGACACTCCTTTGAAGACTGCTAGTCTAGGAAGTTAGGATAGCAAATGTTACATTCCGGAGGTGATACTCCAGTACTCTCAACAGTCCGAACATAAGGAACAGCCAGTCCTGGAGGTGGATGAGATCTGAAGCAGACGAAAAACAACCTTAGTCCCTTGAGTATAATGTACAGAGTAGTGAATAAAAGCAAAGCCGTTAAGTAAAACAATAAGCCAGCATGTTTGAAATGGTGTGTTTTTATAGTGTATATTATATGAGCAATATAGAATATTGTTGCTATTATAGAATGAATGTTTAAAGAACAATACTCTTTCTATTCTTGTCAGGGTGACCGTGGAGACCCTGGGCCTGCAGGTCTGCCAGGCTCTCAGGGTGCCCCTGGGACTCCTGGGCCTGTTGGTGCACCAGGAGATGCGGGACAAAGAGGAGATCCTGTAAGAAAGTCAATTTCACACTGACAGTTTTATGACACTGATATTCTATCCTGTAACTATGTGTATATTCATCCTATCTTGTATATGTTGTCAGTTAAGAACTCTAAATAATGACAATTATGAATTAAAATGTATGCTTAGTTGAAAAATGAGTTATTTTTTGAATATATGATCTTGATATAATTACTTTAGTTATCTAAACAAGTTGTGATTTATATGAACTATAACACACATAAATAAAATTAAGTAAGCAATATCATTTAATAGTCAACAAAAGTGAACTTCATGTGGTAAAGCTAAGAAAAATGTTGACTATAATGTGTTACTAGAGTTAGTGCATTCTTACCTGATGTGGAGACATTTGCCAGACATCAATTAATTAGCTATAATTGTGCACATTTTATTTATATCTCTGCTTATGTTAATATGTTACTCATATTTATATTCATATTTACATTTATATTTTTTAAGATAATAAATTTTATGATTTTTTCTAGGGTTCTCGAGGCCCTGTAGGACCACCTGGCCGAGCTGGAAAACGTGGTTTACCTGTAAGCTCTATCTTTTCTGAACTAAGATATGTTTTCTTATATAAAATATATACACAAAGAGGAAATTTAATTTAATATTTATAGATAGTTATTGACCCAAAGAATCCTGAAAGTTTGTGACATGGTACCAATAATGACATGTAGCAGTAAGGGATATTTCAGAAAGATAGAAGACAGATTTTGAAAGATTTTATTACAAAGAAATTATACAAATGGCAGTGTATTTTAAAGCTGCATTTAAAAATCACAAGGGGATTGAGTTTAAAGTGATGTGGGGAAGACGGAGTGTCCTTGAGAGTAATAGAAGTTTTCTTGCTTCAGACGTACAGTAGCTAAGGGGGCGAGGGGTAGGGTGGGGGGAGATGAGGTCCTGAGATATCAAAGGATGAAAAATTTTTCCCATCCAGTGGATTCCAGGTCCATGTAGATTTCATGAACAAAATGAATGGCGAGTTTTTAGAAAGAAGTTTGCCATAGGTCATAGATGAGAGCTAGAGAGACAGGAAGCAGGCAGAGTCTAGAACAGCAAGAGTACGTCCGAGGGATGGGTTGCCATTGCGATGCTAGTTTAGGGACTGTTTATTTGACTTATGGCAAAAGCTATGTTGAGGTACGCCAAGGTAAGCTGATCAATCCAGTGCCTGCTTATGACATTTCCCTGTGGCTCTCCATCCTAGGTGTCTGGGCTAGATTTATGGTGCTATCTATGTACAGAGCTTCCACTCAAGTTTACCTTTATCTGTTATGGGTAGTCGAATGGATTGTGTTCTAGTGTTTATATATCAATATCTACTGTTTTTGTTTTATTAAAAACTCTCTAGTCTATCAGATTGTTTTGAAATCCAAATTAAACCCAAAAAGCAAACAAAATGAAACATAAAAAGGGAAAAATATTAGCCTAAAATCCACTGGATTTGATCATTCTATCCATTCTCTAAAGTTAGATTAGTAGGGTTCCAATTCTTCCAGGAAACCAAGGATAACACATCTAACCCTAGCCATCTGCCACTTGTCTGCTCAGTGTGAGCAACTGAACCCTGAAGCAGTGTTCATTTTATAGCACTCAAAATCAACGACAGAACCCACCTGGTGGATACCTTTACCACTTCTCTGGATGTGGCTTATATCACAAATAAGATTCTTCTTTATAGTTTTTTAGGATCAGGATCCTTGGATTTGAGAACAGACTGTTGTAGATATGATGAGGATGACATTCTCTCTCTCTCTCTCTCTCTCTCTCTCTGTCTGTCTCTCGTGTGAGTGTGTGTGTGTGTGTGTGTGTAATGAATGTAGCTTACTGATAATATTTCAGTTTCATTGCCCCAATTTTAAAATGTTTTTGAGAATGTTATACATGAGTATTATATTTGCATCGTTTCTACCCTCCTCCTCTCCCTCCTTCTCCAAGTTTTCCAGTGTTCTCTCCACTTCCTCTCAGTTTCATTACCACGTCTTTAAATGTCTACACATACGTACCTATAAATACAACCTGCTGAGTGCATTTTACATTGCCCATATGTATATATGCATTTGAGGCTGACCTCTTGTGATTAGATAACCTATCAGTGGTTTGCTCCTGGAAAAGACCAATTCTCCCCTTCTTCTGTGATCTTGTGATCTTCCTTGAATCTTATGTGTAGGGGTTGTACTGTAGATGTGTTAATGATGCATGGGGAATCCCGTGGTCAGTTGTTCTCTGCATTTTGACCAGTGTGGATTTCTGAGAGGAGTCTAATAGAGGGTATAGAGCTTTATCTGTGGATTTATGGATAAGTATTTAGAATGCAGTTGGAAATTAGTTTACGGTGTTCTCCTCTAGGGCCCATGATCTCACTAGCCATGGGTAGTTTGCTAAATTTCCAGACATGAATTGCTTCCTACTGAGTGATTCCTAAGTCCAATTAGGTTGCTGTTGGTTATTCTGAGGTACAAATATACATACTAAGCATTTATTTGTTTCTCAATATAGTCCCAGCAGTCCTAGCCTATCCTTTTATTTGCATATGTAAATATAGTATTCCTAGATAAAACTTGGAAAATAAAAGCTAGTATTAAGTTTTAATTTCAGAGAAACTATTTAAAAATTAAAGTAAATACAGTCTTAAAGAGCAAAATTGCAGCTGGGTGGTGGTGGCGCATGCCTTTAATGCCAGCACTTGGGAGGCAGAGGGAAGCAGATCTCTGTGAGTTCGAGACCAGCCTGGTCTACAAGAGCTAGTTCCAGGACAGTCTCCAAAGCCAGAGAGAAACCCTGTCTCGACCCCCCCCCCAAAAAGAGTAAAATTTTAGGAAACTGTAGTCTTAAGAAGTAATATTAATGACTGACTATTTATAGGGACCCCAAGGACCTCGAGGTGACAAGGGTGATAATGGAGACAGAGGTGACCGAGGTCAGAAAGGTCACAGAGGCTTCACGGGCCTTCAGGGTCTCCCTGGCCCTCCTGTAAGTTTTTTGTTTAAGCATTGTCTTTCCTTGCATGTGAAAATATACTGATGTATTCACAGGACTACCAATCCCTCCATGAAATAGATTGATGCTTTTGTATGCCATTTTAATTTAAAATGTACTTAAAATATTGATAGTTACATAGTTACCTAATGTAAATGCCCATACATATGTTGTAGGGGAAGAAATAAAGCAAACATCTTCATACCCCTTTACATATATAGTTGACTTCAATATTAGTTGGATGTTAAGGAAGTTAATAGCTTCATTTCTAGTGCTAAAGTTAGTAACAGCACACTTTCAAAGACAAAACACAACACAATGCAAGATTTATATTTGTATTTATTATTTTTCTGGTTCATGAGCTAGCTTTTTGGAGATTATTCACTATGGTAGGATTCCAGGCTGAATTGTCATGCATGGGGAAAGAGTTTGGTGGGACCTTAACTTAATGTACCAACCAGGCTTTGTTGACTCCCCATGGGAGGCCTTACCCTATGGGAGGAGTGGATGGGGTGGGCTGGAGGAGAGCAAGGAGGGCCGGGAGGTGGGGTTGGAGAGAAAACTGTGGTTGTAATGTAAACTAAAATTTTAAAAAATGTAAAATATTCATGTTTTAGCAACACTTTCAATATTCTTTCTGTGTAGGGTCCAAATGGTGAACAAGGAAGTGCTGGGATCCCTGGTCCTTTTGGCCCAAGAGTAAGTAACAGAAACTCTTAGGTTTCAGGTGTGCATAATAAAGCCTTTAGCGACATAATACTGTTTCTTGATACAATATTCCTGGTATTAAAGATTCATTGGTTCATGGTTTCTGAGGTTTGCAGAAGATGTATGGGACAACCTTAGCAAGTAATTAAGTATTAATATCCTAGAATTTGATATATCATATATTTTACTGTGAGCCCATGGTAAACCTCTTACCCAGGTTTTTATATTTTCTTCTATTCAGTTTCTTACTGGAGGTTAAATTTTCATTAAACATGAATTCTTTGAGATGATTGGACTTACTCGTGAAGTGGAATGGATTTTCGAGATAGAAATGTTTTGCTCTTTAATTGTGGTAAAACCAGAGAATAAGTTTATAAAAAGATAATTTGAAAGCAAGTCATAAAAGAAAATCAATATGTGAGGCTTTTAGAAATTCTAAAGTAATATAAATGTTGCTTCTTATGTGTCTTTGGTGTCCTAAGACAGTATGAATTAGCAAAACAAATATGCTGTGTTTAAGTATAACATAAATTGAGACTAATAATAAGAAGAAGAAGGCTAGGATATGATGAGATTCTGTAGTGTAAGTACTGAGGCTCGGTTATCGCAAACACTCAACTTACATCATTTCCTTCTAAAGTAATTGAAATTCCAACCAGGTTTATGAACAATTTGATGGAACAGTTTCTACCAGTGAAAACCGGTGATTAGCATGAGTGTTAGTTAAGATTTCTATTGCTGTGAAAAGACACCATGAGCACAGAAACTGTTACAATGGAAAATATTTCATTTAAATGGCTTGCTTATAGTTCAGAAGTTTAGTACATTATCATCATGCTGAGACATAGTAACACGCAGGCCAACATGGTGCTGGAGAAGTAGCTAAAAGACCTATATCTTTCAGGCAACAGGAAGTGGTCTGAGACAATGGTTGTTTCTTAAGCATACATGAGACTCCAGAGCCTGCCTCCACACTTCCTACAACAAGGAGGTCACACCTCCTAATGGTGCCACTCCCTCTGTTAGTATTTTTAGCTTACCTTGGTCCTCTACCCAGAATTAATGATGGGCAGTTCACACACAATGGAATTATAAGTGTAACAAAATGCTGAAAGGCAACTTAAGACTGGAATCTGAGCAATCATGTAATTACTCAATCTCTATAATGATTCTTTTATTAGAGAGACATTGCAAAGTCTTTCTTCTGAAATGTAGTTTTTGTGTTCTGACAGGGTCCTCCAGGACCAGTAGGTCCTTCAGGCAAAGAAGGAAACCCTGGGCCACTTGGACCCATTGGACCTCCTGGTGTGCGGGGAAGTGTAGGAGAAGCAGGACCAGAGGTAAGCTCACAAGTTTTCGTGGAAGATGCTGCCATTAGGATGGGGTCTATCCAAAAGCATCTGTGCAAACATGTCAACAAGGGTTTTAAGAGACTCCTTAAATAAACCTAGAAGTCACAACTGAAGCTTATCTCCTTAAGTAATTATTTCAAGTCTTTTAATACACAGTATTTAGAACATACAAAATGAAAGTTCAATATATCAAGTCCTTGAATTGATATTACACCAAGATCAAATATCAAGCAATGGCTGCATTCTTATCAAAGTTGTGCAACTAATGTATTGTGTGAAATTATATTTTTCTTAGTTTGTTTTCCTGTTGCTGCTTAATACTCTGACAATATAATATCAAATTGAAAAAGGGTTTATGCTACCTCATAGTTCATGGTACAGTCCATCATGGCAGGGACATGAAGGCAGCAGGAGACTGCAACAAGATGATTATATGAGTTTGAAAGGTTTCTTTACTGAAAATGTTGTTCAAGATTTCAATTTAAAATTTTCAATTACAAATCTAAGGGCATTTAGTATAAGATGATATCAAGTAATAAACCATGTTAGTTAGTCTCTAGCTTCTCTGTTCTTAGACATGCAGCATCTATCTACATACATATGTACTGTGTGTATCTAAACTTCTGTCTGGTGTTTCTTTGATATTTTTTATCTGACCCTACCTTGTTAGTCTTTGTTCTTCTAGTGACTGTGCCATTGATTAAAATATTTATTATTTTTATGTAGGTGTGTAGGTTTATTATCATCATAGTCAAGAATGTCCCCTCCTTCTTTCTCCATGAAGAGCAAACAGTCATACTGTTTATCTGTGACTTGTGTGGTTCTTGATGTACTGAGTGTTCTTGGTGAGATGAGGCTATTCCTCTCAGATTAGTGTAATAGGATGTTTGGAATCATGATGACTTTCCAGAAAACAGTCATCCATCTATCCATCTACCCATCATCTGTCTGTTTTACTATCATTAGTCTTTTGAGAATGTGAAAACATTGGCATAGAGGCTACCACATGTTGCCTGGAGGCCCCAGTGAATTGCAGAGCCAGTACTGGCACATCAGGACGGTGCTCTCTACCTGAAATATGGGCACCTTGTCTCTTTAGTTACATGGCTCTTTCAAGACTCAGTTCTTTCTCTGAAAATGCAGAAGAATTAATGGAAAGCACTTAACTTGTAAACTTTACTACTTTTTTCCATCTTATCTGAGACTTTACATTCCTTCAGTCTTCCTGAAAACAGAAGAGCAGGGCCTATCCTTAAGGCTATGGAAAGGCTAACTGGAACTTCTCTTGGACTTTATTCAGTACAGAGAATTTTTACATTCACCATAATTCACTTACATAGAAAATGAACTTCCTGCCTTTCTTTTTGATCTGGAGGAGCCAACAAGTTCCATGTTGGGGGTCTTGTGATTATTTCCCTGGTATTTGCATGCAGACTTACAGAACCAGATTCCATACCCTACCAGCCATTTTGCCTTCTGCACATAGCTGCTTTTGAAGAATTCCAGTTGTATCTTGCCCAAAATTGTTTTGAAAAGAATGTAACTCTGGATGTTCTTCACATGAGATACATCGTATCTTCAAAGAAGACATCAAAGAGAAGAGTTTGGCTTTAAGCTTTGTTTATCTCAGAGGCTGAGTTGAAGACTTTTTTGCTTGAAAAACAACTCTACATTACTTCCCATTCTTGCAATCATATCTGTCTCTTGACAGGCTAGCCTTGCCTGTTTAAAAAGCATGAGTCACACTTCTTCAGTAATGACAAATTGGTGTGCCAAGTTGTAACTGCCAGTGCACTGCTCAGCAGCAGTTTAGTAACATAAAACAAAACACTGTTAAATGTGTTCCCAATTTCTCCTATTTAGGGTCCTCCCGGTGAACCTGGACCCCCTGGTCCTCCAGGTCCCCCGGGTCATCTTACTGCTGCCCTTGGTGACATCATGGGCCACTATGATGAGAATATGCCAGATCCACTTCCAGAGTTTACTGAAGACCAGGCGGCTCCTGATGACACAAACAAAACTGACCCTGGGGTCCATGCTACCCTGAAGTCCCTCAGTAGTCAGATTGAAACCATGCGTAGCCCTGATGGTTCCAAGAAGCACCCAGCGCGGACTTGTGATGACTTAAAGCTTTGCCATTCCACCAAGCAGAGTGGTGAGTAGATAGGAGGCAGTATGTGAAGCAGGTTGTTTGTATTGAGTTGTTGTCAACTGTGACCCAAAACACTTTTTAACTTTATAATTAATGGCAGGCAAAAAGACAAGACTAAGTACATGCCACAGAGCTTATAGTTTTGTGGTAGAGACAATTACATGAAAAACTATATAGTAACAATGATGGGTAATATATTCAATAGAGGTCATATCCTACTAAAACCTAGTTTTGAGGAAGCAGTCCCAACACACACATATGTACATTCAGAAAATAGTTGCTCATGCATAAATAAAGATGCTCTCTCACCTTCATGATCATCCAGATTAGGTAAACCATTGAGAACCCAGTGAAGTAGGCATTTCCCTAAATTATTTGCATATGGGATCTTCTTATTGCAATTTAATGTCCTGCCTATCACTCCTTTGCAAGCCTTCCTGGCAGGAACATGTGTAGTGAACTTCAAGGCAGTTTGGAATGCAGCAGTGCTTCCACCTTAATTGCATGACAGTGTTCTCAGTTTGCTTTCTTCAATGATTTTGAATGATCTAATTAGACCCAGAAAAGGCGTATTTACAACTATAAGAATGAGCTGTAAAATACCAAAGTTTCAGTTAACTTTGAGATGGCATCAACAGGGACAACTAAAAATGTTTTCTCCAAAAAACAACACACTTTTCTTATTAACTGTATAATTTACATCTCCCTTTTCATTTCATTCAAAATTAAATTTTTATAGTTTATGCAAAATAGCACACATGTGTATATAGACCTACATAGATACATGTAAGTATATTTACTTGTATATTTATATGATTACATACCAAACATCAAGCACTGTCTTAGTATATCTTGTTTTGGAAATCACTTGGATGTTTTTAGTCTGAAATACACAACTTGAAAAAGTGCTTTTGAATGGAAGTAAGCATTGAGAAGGCTTCCAGTGTTTAACAGTCACATTCCTACCTAAATGTATATGTGAGTGGTTGCGTGCATGTGTATTGTGTGAGTACATGTGAATATGTGGAGAAAGCTACCTTTGATATCTTCTTAAATTACTGAATGTCTTACATGTTAAGACTGTTTATAGCTTAGTCCACAGCTCACTGTTTTAGATATTCTAGCTTGTTGATTTACCCTGGGATTCCCCTTTCTGTCTTTCCATATGCTGGGATTGAGAGTGGACCACCATATCCATCTAGTTTGTATAGATTTTGGGGATCCTAACTCAAGCTATCATGTAATCATGGCTAACATCTTACCTGCTGAGCCTTCTCCCAGTTCCCTTAACAATCCCATTTTGAATAAAGGGTCAATCTCCACTGATTACCTTATAGATTCATAATCATGAATCTTGAGATCATCTCCATTTAGCAGATATTTCTATCTTGAAAAATAGGTGAATATTGGATTGATCCTAACCAGGGATCTTCTGAAGATGCAATCAAAGTTTACTGTAATATGGAAACAGGAGAGACATGTATTTCTGCAAACCCAGCCAGCATTCCACTTAAAACCTGGTGGGCCAGCAAGTCTCCCGACAGTAAGCCTGTGTGGTATGGTCTCGACATGAACAGAGGATCTCAGGTGATTTACTGTTGACTCCCAATTATATTTTTTACTTTTTATTATTTATTTTTTTCCACATTTATTAAAGCAATGCTATTATTCTTGAATGGGTTTATTTTTACTATGCTTACTTTTAAATGATTATGTTCTCATTATAAATGCAAAATCTTTTTCTAAACAAGTTTTATCAAGATTAATTAATATAGATTTGTAATTATAAATTTTCCTTTTTCATAGGATGAAACAAATAATATTTAATATTAGTGTCTTTAATACATGCCACTGACTATGGATTATAGTGGGAGGGGTCTTGTTTCTGCTCTAAGAGACCTGGATCATAATTGAAACTTATAAAATTACTAAACTTTTCAAAACCTTATAGTTACTTTAAAGTAAGTGTGGTAAGACTGACCTCACTGTCTTTGTGAATGCTAGTGTTTAGTGTAGTATCTAGAATGATAAATGATGATACATATTAGATAAATTAATAAAATAAGTGGATCCCTTAGGATTTGTGAAGTATTACTTAAAGTTTACTCATTTTTTCTAATTAGATGAATTATGTTATAGTGTTTCTGGGTTCCAGTCTACCTCATGTTTCTATTATATTCTAGGGTTCAGAGCTTATCAGACCTTGGTGTTTCCTGTTACAAAATCAGCATTTCATATCACCTTACCTCCCCTGCTTCCAACCTTGCCCCAGTTAACATGTTATGGAAGAGTTATAATTCTGTATACAATAAGCTAGAATCTATTATCATTTAGTGAAAATAAAAATTTAAATTTAAAACAGCTGAAACGTAGTTTAAGCAAAATAATATGTCAGAAACCAAAATGATGCCACTGAAAATGAACCCAAAGCTGCAGATGAGAAGAAAAGTGGGAAATGAATTTTGGGCTCTTATATTATAGAAAATAATATTTTTGATATGTATTTAACTGTTCAGTAAAATAGATTTATACTTAATTCTTATTTTTATCTAATTAGTGAAAAAGTTGAGTTGTATTTATTAAGTATAATGCTTATAATACACATACAATTGAATCAGATTTAAAAGCATTTAACTTTTCTCTGGGAAATTAAATTATTTTTCTAACCTCTTCTTTGAGGTCATGAGGACACAGGTACTTGTGACTATGGATAAATATTTGAAAATATTTTCCTTTGTATAGGTATGGTATCTTATTGTATGAAAACAAATATTTTCAACTTTGACTTCTCTATAGTCAGTTAGTCCTCTCTCTGTCTGTCTACCTGTCATCAATATGCCATCTCTTTGGGCAGCATCATGAATCCACAGTTCCGTTGTGTCATTTCTCTAGTTCACATATGGAGATTATCAGTCACCTAATACAGCCATCACTCAGATGACCTTCCTACGCCTCTTATCCAAAGAAGCCTCCCAGAACATCACCTATGTCTGTAGGAACACTGTGGGATACATGGATGACCAAGCCAAAAACCTCAAGAAAGCTGTGGTGCTCAAAGGGTCAAATGACTTAGAAATCAAAGGAGAAGGAAATATTCGATTCAGATACACAGTTCTTCAAGACACTTGTTCCGTAAGTGCCTCCACAGCTGTGTTCCTCTGTAACTTCTCTCCTTTCTTCAGTCATTAAACTTATGGAATCTCACTTTCAGTCGTAAACTGCTGTTAGTCTACATGCGCTGATTTGCATGTCCCCTTCCTGCCATGCACACTAGTGCCACACATGCCTGAGCTGTGCACATCACTGCTTTTTATGATATAAAGAGTTGCCTTTGGGAGGGTGCTGCTGTGTAAAATTCTTAGAAAAACTGTATATACTATTCACCATTGCCCTGTTGAATTCCAGAAGCGTAATGGAAATGTGGGCAAGACCATCTTTGAATACAGAACACAGAACGTGGCCCGCTTGCCCATCATAGATCTTGCTCCCGTGGATATTGGCAACACAGACCAGGAATTTGGCATTGAAGTTGGGCCAGTTTGTTTCATGTAACAGAAGCCCAAAAGCATCGACACTGCCATCAGTGACCACCACCATGACACTGAGCACTGCCATCAATGACCACCACCATTCACAAGAACTTTGCCTGTTTGAGGTTGATCCTGAGACTCTTGAAGTGATGTCTGGTCCTGCACCAGCTTTGTACATATGGTCTGAAGTGCCTGGCCTCCTTAATTCTTCAGAATATTTATTTTACTTACAATCCTCAAGTTCAATTGACTTAAACTATTTTTCAATACGGCAGTTTAAATTTAAGATGACCAATGACAATGACCACCTTTACCAAAAAGTAAACTGATTAAAAAATAAACATGTTTTCATCAATTCACTTCACTGTAATGAATGGGTTGCTTAGTATTTATGAGGAAACTCTTCTTCCTAGCAGGTAGCTTACAGATCGGAGTGAGTAAAGCCTCAGCACATGTTGACTTTGCTTAACTGCAGTCTGGAAAGCAGAGAACAGTGGCCTTCTGTGTCCTCTTATTCCCATATCATCAATGGAAAACAAATGCAAAGTATTTCACTTTGTGGCTGAAGCTCTCATGCATGTCTTGATATTGTACTACAATTATAGAAATTCTTTAAGGAGAATATAATGTATCATCTTTCCACTTTCTTAAATGAAATATTTAAACAACACACAGTCACTGAATTTCAGGAGGAAAAGAAACTCATAAAAGTGCTTCGATTTGCCAATCTGTGTTGTAAAAATTGATACATTTAGATTTTTTCTTATTTCAAATTTAAGAGTAACATTTTCCTATTTGTTGTAATCTTTCAATACAGGTAGAAGTTGTATTTGTGATTTGTGCTTAGTTTTTAAGAAGATATTGAATGCAAAAAAAACACAAACAAACACAAAACGATTACCTACATCACTTTCTAAACACACCCAGTAACTGAAGTTGAGACTCCCTAACAGATACCATCTCATTTTCCTGAAGCCTATCATAAAGGAAAGGTCTAGAAACCCCGAGTTATGATGATCCCTCGAATCAAATGTGAGGATTTGAATAAGAACATTCATAAGAAAATATGACCCCACATTTCTTAGCATGAGCTACCTCATCTTTAGAAGCTGGGATAGACTTCCTGTTCTTGTTTATACCTTAGATATTGAAAGGTGCTGTGTTTCTGTTGTTATTCCAAGACTGGGGATAGGCAGGGCTGAAATACTATTACTTTTCTTTTAATGATGGTGCTAAAATTATTTCAATAAAATTCTTTAAAATTAAAGATGATTTCATCAATGCCATTTGTGAACATAGAACTGTTAAACATCCCATTTCTGAGAGACAGAACATTGTTCACAGTCCTGTTGACAGTTCCCCTCATACTATTTTTGGAATGCTTTGTATTAATTGCATGTGTCTTAGTCCAGTATACACAGGTTCCCTTGTGTCTCAAAGTATTTTTTTCTTAATTGTGTTTTTTTCCTCCATTGTTATTTCTTACTTAAAAATTAATAGTTTGGGCCTTTCCAAAGGACAAGCCACGCACACAGCTTTGGTCATGTATCTCTGCAAAGCAAGGAATTAAATGCATGCTTCTGTCATGTCAGCTGTTCTCAGTTTGTTGAATTCCTCTGAACGCATTAGATCCTTTTGGCTTCCAACAGAGAAAACTAAGGGTTTTCGGTAGTTTTTGTTTATCATTTAATAGAAGATACAACCAGTACCTTCCGTTACATCTGCACTGACTTAGAAATAAAAATCTGTGATACTGCCCACAAAGGCATGATGACATCAGTGAAGACAGTCTATGCCTTAGAAAACTCCAGCTAGTGACTGAGTAAAGACAAAAGGAAACGAAAATTCCCTGGCTGAATAAACTGATAATAAAACATGTCTCAATGTGTATAAAGTATCATCTTGAGCATCCATCAGCATCTTATTTGTAATGTTTGTTTCACAACTTCATTTTTCTAATTCAATTATTACCTGAGCTCTACATCTTGAATTTGTATAACTAAGGATAGCTGTAAGTTTTCTTTAATTCCAACCCATATAAGTTATACAGGTTCATATAAGTAATCCAAAAACACATGTTGATTTCCATTAAATAAAAATACCAGTAGTTTCCACCCACAGAATACCAGCTCTTACCTGAAGGTCGAAGATGCTGTGAGAATAGTTCATCCACCAAAACTTCAAATCTCGTCCTGTGTTCTAGGTATACAGGTCTCTTCAGAGCAGTGGGTTTCTTTACCTTCATAACCTATTTGGATGTTAAATGACCAAAAGCAAAATAATCTACATCTGGGGCAGGGGCTAGTGCCATTTCTTTATTGCTAGTTGATTAAAAATTACAAATAAAAACTCTTTCAAACAAGCTTTAATGAAGAAAACGAAGTGAAGACAGCAAATGAGTGATGCTAAAAAAAGTTCGAAACTCACATTATGCTTTCCCCAAAATGGTATTGGTTAGCGTTTTTATTACTGTGATATAACACCATGGCCAAAAGCAACTTGGGGAGGAAGGGGTTTATCTCAATTACATTTGCTCATTGCATTCCAGGGACTGGAGGCATGAGTCGATGAAGAGGCCATGGAGGAGGCTTCTTACTGCCTTGTTCCTCATGACTTGTTCAACCTGCTTTTTTTTCTTTACCAGCCAGTACTATTTAACCCAGAAGTAGCACCACTCACCAAAGGCTGAGCCCTCCCACATCAATCATTAATAAAGAATATGTCCTATAGACTTGCCTACAGGACTAGCCCATGGAAGCATGTCTCAAGCATCTTCCCAAGTGATTCTAGCTTATGTCAAGTTGAGAAAACACTACCTAACTCAGATTCAGTAAGAATACAAAAATAAAAAAAAATCTGGACAAAGCAATGACTGGAACTATCACACATAGGATATGTTGTCCTACTGTATCTCAAGGGAACCCATTTCACTTGAAATTATAAAGATTTCAGAAGACATTAAGGAAAAGCATTAGCAGTTGATTTTGGAGACTAAAACTAACAGTGGCAATGCATGCTCTGAGCCACAGGGCACCACAAGGCATGGCAGTCAGCTGATTTTCTTTCTTTTAAAAATCAAAATAGCTACTCCATTCCAAAGGAACTTTCCACCCTTCTGTGTCAGTGAGTCAATTCCCCAGCTGCTTCAGTGTGTCTGTCCCCAGGGACAATATTATCAGAACATTCATACTCAATACCCTCACCTGATTTTATCCATATCTATGCCTTTAGTTATCATCCGGATGTCAACAGCTTAAAATGTAATCCCAACCATTCTCTTTGGAGTTTGAGCCATTCTCTGTTGGCGTCCCTTTGTTTCAGAGGCCTGTCCATTATGTCCCCTCACTATGCCCCAGGTTAGATGTTTGCATCATGTAAATTTTCTTAATGCTCTACTTTTCATTTATGAAAAACTGATTCTTTTACTTCACTTTTATGAGTATCGTTATTGGTACTCTGTTCTACAGATTTGTTACAAAAGCAGGGAATCATATTTACAGAGATACATAGATTTCCTTAGTATTTTGGCTAATTACCACATATTCATTGAATGAATGATAAAAATGTAATACTATATAATTGCAAAACACACTCAGAATATTCATACTTGATTCCTGAATTATTTATGCATATGTCATTATTACTGCTGTGTTAGTTCTAGCGTACAAAATGTACAATAAAAGAAATTTTATTTTTGGTTTTACGAAACAGGGTTTCTCTGTATTTTTTTGAGGCTGTCAGTCCAGCCTGGCCTGGAACTCACAGAGATCCGCCTGCCTCTGCCTCCGGAGTGCTGGGATTAAAGGTTTGTGCCACCACTGCCCGGCAAGAAATTACTTTCGTTCATGGCAGTATTGTCATACAAATAACTTTTAGGAATCAGTGGAGCAAAACAGAAATATTAGAGTGAACTACATGAAATAAAACTAACAACTTATCCTCCCATAGGAAAATTAATACTTGAAAATATATTTTTTTTCTGAATTAGTAGATAAACCCAGTCATTATGGACCCTTTCAAATAAGAAACATTATCCTGATCTCACTCATCTCCTTCTCCCCTAAACTCCACCCTCTGCCCTTGCAACTTACTCCCCACAAAGGAAAACAAAACAAAATTTAAAAGTGTAGCCACAGAAACAAAACAAACAAAAAATGAAGAAGAAAAATCGGCGTGGAAGTTGTAGTGTGACACTGTGAGTCATACAGTGTGCCTCTTAGTCCATACATCATTACCTGCAAGTGTTCATTGCGCTGGGTTATTGATCTGGCTTGAGGCCTCTGGCTTCTGCTACCCTATCGATAGTGTTCTTCACTGGGACTTCTGGGTATCCTGTTGTTGGAGGCTGTGTCATGGAGATCCTGTAGCTCTGGATCTGTCCTTTTCACATGGTCCAGCAGATGAGGTTGGTTTTGGGGGTGTTGGGCTAACTCATAGTCCTGCTTCTGGGCCTGGGTGGTAGCTGGGTTGGTCTTCCTGCCAGCTCTCCCTCATTGTCACCATCAGGGTAAGGCCTCTAGCACTGCCCCTGCCAGGTCACCCACTACAACAGGCAGCAAGGAGCAGGGCCAGTTCTCACTTATACCACCAGGACCAGCTCTCCTATTTTGCCCAGTGCAGGTTTAGGACCTGCTCTTCCTGTTGCTACAGTTGATGAGGGCAGCTCTTCCGCTCTCATGCCCCCGAGAGTGGCTGTCCCACCCGCCTCAGCTGGCAAGGGGCAAGCGGGGGAGGGCATATTTCTCTCACCCATGATATCACATGGAATATGAGGGAGGGACAGGTGCCACTTTCCTCTCACAACCACAGGACCAGCTCACCTATGACCCTGCCAACAGTGTCAGCCTTTGTGTGCTCCCTAGGCGAGGACTACTCTCTGCTGTGCTGCGGTTGGTGAGGAACAGGGTCAGTTCTTCTGTCTACCACCAGTGGCAGGGGGTGGCAAGTGACAAGAGGGGGGCAGTTAGCAGTGTGCTCAGAGGACAGACACAGCTTCCTCAAAGTCACATGACCTTGGTGGTGGGCAGGAGGCGCCATTATGGATAGTGAGAAAAAGGGTAGAAAATGGGAGAGAGGGGCAGAATGATTCATGTGCTGGGGAGAGGGGCAGATCTGAACTGGCAGGTGGTGAGGACCAGGCTAACACAAGATGGCTCGATTTCTACCTGAGGCCATGGTGATGTCTGGGCCTGGGCTGCTGCCAAGGGCCAAGTCTTTGTCTGTGGTTTTGATGCAGTTGTGAGGGTCTGTGTTGATGTCCATGGCTCCTGTTACCACCGAGGGCCTTATGGAAGCTCAGAGTCTGGGCCACTACTTGTGACTACGTCAGTGTCCAAGGGATGCGCACCCACTGGGACCATGCCAAGCTAAGAGTTCCTGCACTGCCACCTGGGACCATGGTGACATCCAGGCTGTACTGTTGTCAGGGGCAATGTCTGGTTCCATGACCCTGCTGTGGCCAGCCTCTGTGGCTCCTGTTACCACTGAGGTTCATGCAGAGGCCACAGTCTGGGCTAAACTGGAGGCTATAATGCTCTTTGAGTGTCAAGCTGCTGTTGGTTCCATACAGGTCTGAGAGGTCTGAGCTGTCACTTGTGATCATCTTATCTACCAGATCCAAACTGTGTCTGAGAGCCTTGTCTGGTTGTGACCCTGCTATGGCCAGGGTCTTTGCTGATGTCAGAGGTTCCTGTTGCCATCAAAGGTCATGTGAATGACCGAGGTCTGAGCCATCACCTTGGGCCAGGTGGGTGTTTCAGAGCCATGCTGCCCTGGATCCATGTCTGTCTGAGTGACCTGTGCTGTCAATAAAGGCCATGGTGGCATCAGTCCCAGGCTCCTGCCAAGGATCATGTCTGTGTCCATGGTCCAACCGCAGCTGGGGGTCAGTGTGGAAGTCTATGGCCTATATTGTCACCAAGGGCCACATGGATATCAAGGTTCTGGGCTGCTGCCTAGGGCCATCTTAATGCCCAAGGGCTGAGCCTCTCTACTGGGCCATTCAGATCTATGTGACCTACACTACCATCTGAGGCCTTGGCTGCTGCCTGAGGCCCTGTCTGGATCCTTGGCCCTGCTGAAGTAGCTGTCTGTGGTGAGGTCTGTGACTCCTGTTGCCACCAAAAGCAGTGAGGAGAGGTATGCTCAAAGTTAGCCCCATCCATCATCAACTGTGTTCCTTGGGGAAAGCAGGACCTGTACCTTGCTTGGGCAAAACAGTAATCGATTATTAACAAGAAATAGAAAATTACTGGTCGTGGGAAAGATGATAGTTAGAATTAATCTATGCAGCTGGCTAGAATTTAACATATTACCAAAACTAGCTTGAGTTTATCATTTGACATTTATCATTTGAGGGCACATTTCCTTTTTAAATACTCTAACTAAACAGTTTCAAAATGGACAGAATATTACAATTTTTTAAATCTCTTAGTTTATTGACATAAACATTATTGAGTAGTTTAATACTTTTGATGTGTGAATGAAAAAAGATATATTACAAATAAGGACTGAAGGAATCTGTTCCAGAAGACATCCTTCTGTGCATCATGAGACACTCAGTACATATCCTTAAAGCATGTTCAAACTGGA